TACACAAGCTTCTCGGACATTAAAGCCTGATGTTAAAGCCCCTGCGCCTGGCTCCTGGCAGCTCTACACACTGCACTTTCTACTCAAGCTCTAGTCTCCGTACTGTATTTAATCTCTTCGCCAGAGAAAGATTGGCCGTCTATACGCGCCATTCAGGATATTTTATACCGAGCGCCTCTCGTTCACAAGCTTCTCTCCTTCATAAGAGAGAGAAGAAGGAAACTGTGATTCAGTGTTTGCTGTTCCCATTCGATCTCTCCTTTCCTTTGAAAGTATCATTGTGATGCTGTTTGTTTGGCGTCTGCATGCATTTCCTCAAAGATTCAAAGGGTTTTTGGTGGAGTCGGCGTTAAGATCAGAGTAGCCTGCGGTTTTAACTGTACATTACGAGGACTTTAAATGTACGATCACATGAGCTTCCACTGGTTTCATTGATCTTGCGTTGAGAATTGATCAGGAGCGTCTGACTTTGCTGTAGCAGCAAGACAATGAGATGTTGTTTTATATATATACACACACGATTCCCTGAGGTTATGACAAAGTCCTGTTTGTCTATTGATCGAAAAACAGCTGTATAGTTTAAATTATTTCCTGTAAAAGAAGATTTGTACAGAAATTAACTTTTATCTCATGTTTTTTCATTAAAACAGTATATAAATATATACATATTGTATATTATGACCACTATTGATCAAATGTCAAGTCGTTGTATTTGTCACTTTACCGTTCTGCAGCATCCACCAACGATTTTACAGCAGCAAATAACATACCGTTTGTGTTGACGTCTTATGTAATTTATTTTCCTGTATGTCACAACAGGTTTAAAGCCTGGAAAGTGATCATTGTAACCAGCAGTCAACGTCCGTAAGGTCAGAATCTTTTGCGTTACTAACCAACTAAGTTAGCGAATCAAAAGCCATGACTGTTGACACACAGTACTTCTGGGCATAAATATTCACGTCCCCATAACTTGTACTCTTCCGTTTCAATGTTTTCAGCAATATGAAAGTCACTGTTTGGGTTCCGTCTTCATTTTGTGTGGCACATTGCTGCATGTCAGTTTCATCTCTCCGTGTTGCCATCGTAATATTTTCCCTGTGTATATGTGTAAATATGTATCTAAGAGGTTGTATGAGATGAATGAATTTAAAGTGCTTAGGCTTAAATAAACTTCACTGAAACATTCGATCAATTCCTTTGGATTATTTGTCAAGGTAACGTCTATGATGACCTTTAGGTTAGATTATCTTTATTTTTATTTGTTTTATTATGATAAAAGATGATTAGAGCAACTTTTGTAGTAGTGAAACTTTATTTATTAACAGGTCTATAGCCAGCCTGGTGAAATAGGTGTTTTTTTTTTCTTAAAAAGTGGACCTTTTTGCTGTTATTTGCCTCATTTTCTATTTAATCAGGAAGTTTTAATAAGTTGCATTTTAGTGACATTTTATGCACCTTTTTTGTTAGACTAGCTGGTTGGATAGTTATCATAACCGAGTTTCTGATGTACTAAAAACATTTTCTAAAGGTTTAAAATAAAGAAATATGAGAGCAATACTTATTTTTTTTAAATACAACATTTTATTAGGTCATATATCATTACAAAATAGCAATCTGTTAAAGTTTTAAACTAAAACTAGCATATTGTAGTTTAAATATTATTCATTTAAATTTTCCTCAGTCAAACTGAAGCGACAGAGGATTATACTTGATGTTAAAGCCTTCTACCACAATTTATTATGGCATAAATCAGCTTATCTTTGGGACAAATTCTGGACCTTTGTCAGTGAGGGATGGCTCTTTCGAACTTTCTCTTTACTTAGTTTACTATGATTCATAATTTGAATGTTTTATGATAAAAGATGAATAAGGAAACTAACGTTTTTTTCTTTCTTTTTTGTTAAAACTATTTTCTTTATAATTTACAAAATTTTCTGAATTTATTAAAATTTAAGCTAAATTAAAATTGTTTTATTATACCGTCTGTTATGTTGAGTTTCATTCAAGACAATTGAACAACATCAGACATAATGTGTAATAATCTAAATTATATTAAAAGCATGAAAATATTTGTGTATTAAAATGTAAAAAAAAAAAATCCTAAATATTTTGCCGTGTGATCAGAATTTTTAATTAATTCAAATCTGTTTTTATAATAATAAAAGATAGATGTGGACATGTACAAAAATATCAAACATACTTTTTTGACCCAGAAATGCTGCATTTATTAGCCCACCTGAAATTTTGAAAATACTCAAATATTTACATTGTACATATTTACATTTATATACCGAAAATGAAAAAATCACCACAGTAAAGTCAAGGAAATCTCTACACTGAACTTTATGTAAAAAAATGATATTGTGCACCATAAATGACTTCACATATTTTCTTAATAATATACCACACCATTAGATGTTTTCAATTGTATTAGAATGATAACTTTTGTAGTATAACTTTATTTTGAAACTTTAATTTAAACTTTAATGTTAATCTATAAAATTAAGATTTTAAAATGAAAAAACTTTTACTTAATTTACCATAAAATAGATCATTTGAATTTTGTATGATAAAGGATGCATGGGGGAACTGGTGGTGTCTTTGAGAAAACTATTTTCTTTATAATTTACTACATTTTCAGAATTTATTAATTAAAGTTTAAGTTAAACTTATGTTATGAAAACGTCTGTTATGTCGAGTTTAACAACATCAGACGCACTTCTATAGCCAGCCTGGTGCACTTCGCAATCATGAGAGGGGTCTCTCCACACCACCACCAGTGCGCAGCATCCACTTGGATGTTGTGATGGAGCCACAGATGGCGCCAGTGCGCTTACTACATACCAGCTATTGGTGGAGTGGAGAGACAATGGCTGTGTTTTCAATTCCAAGAACACAGAGAACAAACTTGCGTTCTTGTGGAGACCGGTCTTGCCAGGTCACCTCGGAAGAACGAACTCGGGAGAGTGCAAGAACAAAAACGCGTCCTGTGAGAAATGAGATGCTGTGTTGTTCCTGATGATCACGTGACCTTCACACATTTTTAATGAAAAATTATTTAAACATTACAGCATTCATACAACGGTTTACTGTTTTTTTTCCTTTTAAATATATATAACATGCACAACACCTTACAAATATACATTGCACAATACAAATAGCACAGATTTTAATACGAAATGCAGCAAATAAACATCCTTAATGTGTTTGTGCCTTTATTAAGATTTTCATGGTATTGTTTACTCCACCGCCTCATTTAGGGGAACTCCTGAGAAAAATAAGTCATATCTCTCAACTTTAATAATAAATCTATATAAAATGCTGCGCTTCCAACTCCTTTATTATTATTAAAAGCATTAAAATGTTTGTGTGTGTATTAAAATATAATAAAATGATTCTCAAAATTGTAAATATTTTGCCATGTGATCAGAATTTGTAATAAATTCAAATCTGTTTTTATAACAAAAAAGATAGATGTGGACATTTTTGTGAAATAATCTACATAAAACGTAATTTATATTATTTGAAACTAATAATATGATTAAAATGCGACAATTTACCTTTATTTTGCAATATTTCCCTGTATTTTATGATGATAAAAATGAGTATGATATCCGTTAAGAATGTACAAAAATATAAAACAAAGTTTTAACCCAGAAGTAGCCTACTGCACTTTGCAAAATAAGACTTTTTTTTTTTTCATTTGCAGCCGTGTGGGTCTGAATATGAATTAGCCTACTTGACATTTTTTGATGCTCAATTCTGCATCGGTGCATCCTCGATACCAAGAACACATCCAGAAACTTTTATGTGTCTTTCGTTTTTGCGGTCTTGAGTTTCGGATCTAAACTTTACATGATACGTTACATGATAACACGAGGACACAAGATTGCAGAAGAACGCTGATTGAGAAGCAGCCACTGATAGAGCCAATTCAATGGATGGGGATGATTGGGAGGTCATGATGGGTAAGGGTTGATGGAGGGAATTTGCCCAGGAGGCTGGAGTTACACCTCTACTCATGGGATTTTTAACAACAACAGAGAGTCAGGATCTAGGTTTAACATCTCATCTAAAAGATGGCACTCGCTGAAAATATAGTGTCCCCTTCACTATACTGGGGCATTAGGACTCATAAAACTGCAGGTTGAGCGCCCCCTCCTGGCCCCTCTAACAACACTTCCAACAGCAACCTAGTTTTCCCTTGTGGTCTACCATTCATAGACATCCCAAGTCTCCACTTAGAAATTACTTTTCCCGACTTGGGATGTCTGATTCTGATCAGGCTCAGCCCTGCTTAGCTTCATTCAGTAAGCTGTCTTGGGATGCTGCGTGATATGGCTGTGGCTATTTTGTGATGATAAAAATGAGTATGGTAACTGTTAAGACAGTTTTGACCCAGAAATACTGCATTTTTTACAAAATAAGACTTATTACTTGCAGAAGGGTGGTGACTCAATTTGAATTACTTAACATTTTGAAAATATTTACATTGTACATCATACATATTAACATTTTTATACCCAAAATGAAATAAAAATCACCACAGTAAAATTTAGCCTAGCATTTTTGTCCACAATTAGATTTTGTTTCCCTCGAATGTTTTACATACTGCAGAGATTTGCTGAAGCTGCTGTTGGTGACTCACAGTTTCAGTGTTCGCGACACACACACACACACACACACACTGCCCGCACACGCAGACTTTGACTGCGACACTGTCGTTCAATAGTTCAGCAGGTGTATGACGCGATACTCCAAAACGTCGTGATTCAAAACCATGAGTCATGCGCTTTATTTTTCGCCAGTATCTCTCCATAATAACACAGTCTGAACACATCCACATCCGGGTAACGCGCCTCGCTGAGGGAGGAAACCGCGCGCCATCTGACCTGAGATCAGCTCGCAGATTTTACACCAAAGCACAGCAAACCGACACACGGCCGATCCCAGATCATTGGCAAGCCACTCGAGAGGACGTTGGTTACAAATCACCCATCATGTCTTTTGCAGATATTCGCGTTTGAGTCAGTCAGTGTTAAATTCGCTCATACACACATTCCGCTGACGTTTAGCCCAGAGCGCGCGCACACACACACAGAAGAGAGAAGAGTCTGCTGGCGTGATCAGGAGGACTGTCGCTTGCTAACACACACACATATACAAAACACCACAGCAGCCGCAGAAGAGGACACGATTACATCGCAGTGTAAGTATTCAACATTTCTGGCATTGCAGTTATATTGTTCGATGAATATTGAGTAAAACGTCGAGCATGAAGGCACAGCTCCAATGCTACTGCCTCTGAGTGTCTTTTATTTTGGTGTCGCACGAGAATAAGCTCAACGTACGCCCAAATGTCCCGCATGTCTGGCTTGTTTTTGATAGCACACGGCGGGTTTGTGTGCGCGTTTGAGCCGTCGGAGTGTGAAGTGTTTCATTGTTGCATTGTGCTGGGATTGTGGCGCTGTGTTACATTGTGATCGGCTGGCTCAGTGTCACGCTGTGCTTCTGCTGCTGTTTGTGTTGAAGTGAAGAAGAGGCCTGAAGCTGATCACAGCAGCAGGCCTGCTCGCTCACTTCAACACAAACTCAAGATTGAGCTAAAGTTGGTTTTATATTCGCACATTCGTTCATTTTTGAACAGTGACAACTTGTGACTATATTGTACTTTGAATATTGGGTCTTAAATCAAATGTAAACATGAGTTTAAAGCAACATTAGCACTATTTCATTGACTGTAAATAGCCTAATGTTGTATTTTGACAGTCGTTGGCTGCTAAAAATGATTTCTCTATTTAGAATTGGTAAATAATACTTTTCTTAAATTATATTATTAAGAGAAAATCAAAATCAAAATGTGTGAATATAACACCAACTTTACCTCAATCTGTGCAGGGCCTGCATTTCAGCACGAACTCGCACCATATATCAGTCTGACAGATGCTGACAACTCTCTCTGCTTTCCTTGAAACACACTGAGGTAAAATTGCCTTTATATTCACACATTTGGACTTTGCTTAATGTAACTTTAGAAAAGTATTATTTACCAATTCTTAACATGGAAGTCATATCAGCAGCCAATGGTATCAAAGTACAACACTGTTCAGTCCATTAAATAGTGCTAATGTTGTTTTGTAGTCGTACTTACATGTGATTTCAGACCCAATATTCAAATACCATGGTAAACAAATAGGGAGCATTTACAAGTTGTCACTGAACAAATGGGAATATAAAACCATTTTTACCTCAATTCATCACACACAGTTGAGGTGAGGTTGGTTATTGAGGTAAAATTGGTTGTTCAGACATGAATGAATGTGCGAATGTAACACCAACGTTACAAGATTTACAAGTTGTCACTGAACGAATCTGTGAATATAAAACCAACTTTACCTCAATTCATAACAGCACACAATCGAGGTGAAGTTGCTTATTGAGGTAAAGTTAGTTGTTCAAACATGAATTATTGTGCGAATATAACACCAACGTTACAAGATTTACAAGTTGTCACTGAACGAATCTAAATATAAAACCAACTTTACCTCAATTCATAATACCACACACACAATTGGGGTAAAGGTGGTTATTGAGGTAAAGTTGGCTGTTCAAACATGACTGAATGTGTGAATATAACACCAATGTTTACCTCAATTCATAATACCACACATAAACAACTGAGGTTAAGTTGGTTAATGAGGTAAAGTTGGTTGTTCAAATGTGAATGATTGTGCGAATATTACACCAACATTACAAGATTCACATGTTGTCAAGATTTACAAGCTGTCACTGAACGAATCTGCGAATATAAAACCAACTTTACCTCAAGTCACAATAGTACACACGCAATTGAGGTAAAGTTAGTTGTTTAAACATGACTAAATCTGTGAATATTACACCAACGTTACAAGATTTACAAGTTGTCACTAAACAAATCTGTAAATATATAAAACCAACTTTACCTCAATTCATAATACCACACTTAAATGTACAAACGCTGTCATTGTCCTTGTCCTCAGCCCAATTGAAGCTACAGCTTTAATAGGTTTGTTATGCTAAAAACTCTTATTTAGAAAAAAATCCTTCATAAATGGCAAATTTATCACTCACATCCATTGATTAAAAACATGAAATTATAAATAAAGTCTAGTCTACAAATATATTAAACAATTTTTTTTAATTGTCCCCATGTTTCTGTCAGTCCTGTCACATTTGCATTAAATTTCACATTAAATTCATGCAATACACGTTTAAGGCTATGACTCGAAAGTGACATCATATGACGGAGAAGAAGCTGACCGTACTCAAGGATGCTTTTTATCTTTTAAATTGTATGATTTTATGCTTGTTTTTTGTTTTTTTGGAAGACAAGCTTAAAGGTCAAGCCCTGTCATTTTTTTTAGAAGTGAAAATGTATGCGTCTGGTAGAATGTCCCAGCAATAACTGTTTTTAAAAAGCTTTATAGTGCATATTTGTTTGTTAGCATTACTGTATTCTTAAAAATGGATGTCATTGTGGGAAGTAAATACCAGTAAATGTTAAATTGTTAAATTTAATAAATGAACTACAACTCTCCTGTTACCTTATAATTTTCTCTTTTTTTCTTGATAATTAAGAAATATATTAAAACTATAAATTTTATGACCTAAAAGATAATGTGATCTGCACCTAAAATGTTTCTTGCCAAGTAGACGTTTTGTCAAAGCTATACTAAGAAAAATACTGTAGTCAAGTGATTTAAAATGTATATATTACTGGAAAAATTATTGTTATATATTAAAATTATAAATTTTAATCAACACAATGTTTAGTTGTTCAACAACCTTGTTTGTTCAGTTCTTTTTTTCTGTATTTTATATTTTCTTTTGTGGTTTTAATGTATTTTATAATATAAAAAAATGAAATTGTTATAAAATTATTATACACAATATACATTTTTATCTTAATAACACACTATATAAATGTGTGTGTGTGTGTGTGGGTTTTTTTCATATATTTTATTTTTATTTATTGATTTATTTATTTTTATTGTATTTATTTATTTGTGTTTTTGGATCTTATTATTATAATTATTATAATATATTATTAACCCCATTATTAAAAGTAATATCAATACACTGTAAAACCCAAAAAATTAAGGTAACTCAAACCATTTGAGGAAACCGATTTCAACGAACAATTTAAGATCAAAAACTAATCCTGAGTACTGTAAACCTAATCCATTTGAGCAAATGAAGCAATTTGAGCACAGTAAAACCCAATAAATGAAGAGAACTCAAACCAACCGAGGACTGTAAAACCTAATTTAAGACAACTCAAACTGTTTGAGGAAACAGATTGCTACAAACCATTTGAGTTAAACTAATCTATACGAGCACTGTGAACTTGCTCCATTTAAGTTGAAGTAAGGAGGTATTTAATTAAGTTATTACCTTCAACACTGAGCTCAAAACTCTGTTCAAATGAGTAGCATTAACTTTCAGTCAATTTTGAGTTAACTACATACATTTCATTTGATGAAGTTGCCTGTTGGGTTTTACAGTTTACTAATTGTTTTCAAAAACAGTCTATGGTATAATTTATATAATCTATTACTGTAGAGTCATTCGGTTTATTTATTTATTTTTTTCTTTCTTAAGGTGAATCTCTTGTTGCGTTCCTCATCTGTGAGTGTCTTTTAAATTACAGCCCGTGCTGAATTAATGTAAAAATGTAGTTTTGCTGCATGTTGAGGGTTAAAGCTGGTATTTACAGATAGTAAACAAAGGAGGAGCTTCGTCTTTTTTTATCCTCTGCTGAAGACTATGAAATTCCTAACAGAGAGTCAGCCAGTAAACAGGCCCTGTTCATCCCCAGCTGAATAAATGTGGTTGTAGGACATTCCTCCGCATTAGGTTTTTTGATGGTTTAGGTGATTTTTGTGGTGTGTGTGTGTGTGTGTGTGTGTGTGTGTGTGTGTGTGTGTGTGTGTGTGTGTGTGTAAAGTAAGGGTGGCTTGGGTTGCTGGAGATCAGTTTTGATTTATGATTTGTCGAGACTGAGGTGGGTCAGACCTGCGGTTTATTGCAGTCAGTGTTTGCACAGTAAGTTATTCGGTCTTTAAACATGCCCAAACTGTAGAGCGCAATCATTAACATTCAAACTACATCTGAATACTTTAATACAGCATCATTTACTGTATGTACAGTTGAAGAAGTTGTGTTTTTATACATTTATGTTTGGCGTGTGATGGGTTAAATGAATGCAGCACTAATGTGAATAGAATCTGATCAAAGAGCAGCTGCTGACAGGTGGAGGAACAGGAAATATCCAACAGGAACAGTGGACTCTAGGACTCAATCACACACACACACACACACACACACACACACACACACACACACACACACACACACACACACACACACACACAGCCCAGGTTCTTGGATCACAGGATTACCAGTCACAAGTTTCACTAGGTTCTCTTGGGAAAAGGGTGAATATGGTCCACTGATTATAAATGTGTGCTTTAGGTCACTTGCGTCTCTCTGCTGTCAGCCATGGTCCAAATCTCTTCATTTCCACTGTGAAAAGATGAAACCAAGAATAACCAATTCATTAAACAAAGGGGTAGTTCACCCAAAAACAAGAATTCTGTCACTGTTTACTCTACCTTTCTTGCTTCAAACTTGTTTTTTTATTTTTTTTTATTTTTTTTATAAAGCTTCATGAATGTCTTTCTTGTGTTGAAACGGAGAGAATATATTTTGAAGAATGTTGATCATTGATGTCCTTAGTATTTGTTTTACCCTTTATGAAGTCAGTGATTTCTAACATGTTTCAAGTCATGGAGGTCTGAAACTGGTTGATGATGTGTAAATGCTGAGTACAGTTTTATTTTTGGGTAAACTGTGTCCCTTTAACTTGATAAACTTGTTAGTTTGAGGCTGGAACAAATGGATTTGTTTTGGGGAAAATTAAATCTAAACGAAATTTTGGTCTTAAATTTACGTAAATAAGCTACTTTTAGCCTGATGGTGGAACGTCAGGTCTTTACTGTTCAGATAGATAGATAGATAGATGGATAGATAGATAGATGGATGGATGGATGTGTGGGTGTGTGTGTGTATACAGTTAAAGTCAGAATTATTAGCCCTTTTTTTCTTAAATATTTCCTAAATTATGTTTAACAGAACAAGGAAATTTTCACAGTATGTCTGATAATATTTTTCTTCTAGAGAAAGTCTTATTTGTTTTATTTCAGCTAGACTAAAAGCAGTAAAAAAAAAAAAAAAACATTTTAGGGTCAAAATTATTAGCCCCTTCAAGCTAAATATTTTCTCGATAGTCTACAAGCAAACCATTGTTGTATAATAACTTGCCTAATTACTCTAACCTGAATACTCACCCCTAATTAACCCAGTTAAGCCTTTAAATGTCACTTTAAGCTGTATAGAAGTGTCTTGAAAAATATCTAGTAAAATATTGTTTACTGTCATCATGGCAAAGATAAGTCAGTTTTTAGAAATGAGTATATATATATATTTATAAACGTGTTGGAAAAAATCTGCTCTCCGTTAAACAAACTGGGGGGAAAAAATTAACGGGGCTAAAAATTCAGGGGGCTAACTATATATCTATTTGTTCATTTATTTTTATTTGATTTATTTATTTATTTTTTGTATGTATTTTTCTTTTATTGATTTATTTTTTATTTCATTTTTGTATTTATTTATTTATTTTATTATTGAAAAATATAATATATATATTATTATATATAATATATCATCATTATTATAATTATTTATTTGTTTCTACTTTACTTTTTTTTTTTTTTTGAACTATATTTACATTTGATTATATTTAATCACTATTGAAATTTTGTTTTCATTTTACTTAGAATGAACAACACTGATTGCATATAACCAAATCTAAAACTAGTACAAAAATAGCTTAAATGACAAGATGTTTCTCTGGCAGATAACTAAAATAAAAATGTTGACAGGAGTTTTTCTGTTTATTTCCGTGTTTTTAATTACCCTATGGGACTTGTTCTCTGTTCCAACAATTTTTCTTATTGGCCTGTTTACAAGTTGGAAACAATATTCAGGCATAATAATGTAACGCACAATTTTTTGTGTGTGAAATGTGTGTACAGACATTTTCATCAGTGATCCCGGATTCAAAAAACAATTTTTGTACTAAAATTTAAGCCAACAAAAAAATTAAACCACAGATGTCCAGTAATCATGTTTAGCCATTGCCCGATTTTATTTGATTTTTTTCTGGCCTCCACCTCTGACAGTAAAACCTCACATTCGTTATTGTTGAAGTTCTTTTTCTTTTGATTCAGTGCCTTAATATTTTTTCCTTACATGGAGCTCATTTGGATGTTGATTATGCAAATTTTTAACATTGCGCACACAGACGCTCATTAAAAAGACTCCTCAAGACAGAACAACTTTAAGAACAAGCTTGTGTGCATATGTGTTGTGAATTTTGGGAAGTTCAAATGTGAAAAATTGATGCGATTTATTAATGAAGGAATGGGGCAGGACGGTGGCTCAGTGTTTCGCACTGTTGCCTCACAGCAAGAAGGTTGCTGGTTCGAGTCCCGTTGACATTTCTGTGTGTAGTTTGCATGTTCTGTCCGTGTTGCTGTGGCTTTCTTCTGGGTGCTCCGGTTTTCCTCATAGTCCAAAGACTTGCACTATTGGTGAATTGAATAAACTAAATTGGCCATAGTGAATGAGTGTGTGTGTGAATGCGAGAGTGGATGGGTGTTTCCCAGTACTGGGTTATAGCTGGAAGGGTATCTGCTGTGTAAAACATGCCAGAGTAGTTGGTGAAACATCACGCTGTGGCAACTACTGATAAATAAGGGACCAAGCTGAAGGAAAATTAATATTAGTGAACGAGACCTACTGTTTGGGTCAATCATGCAAATTATAAACCAGGCAATGAGCTGACGGTACTGTTTCTGTTGTTTAACTGATTAGTGTACATAAAACCAGTGGCGTAGCGGACGGGCCCGCAGGGCACGCACCGCGGGGGGGCCCCGCGTGATTAGGGGGCCCCACGTCGTCGCGATTTTCAATAATTGAAAATAAGGAACCGCAATAATCAAGCTCTTGGGAACAACTGTGGTCGGAACCAAAGTTCACAGGTCTGTGTTCTCTGAACACCTCTCAAGCGGTGGACTACTTCATTCTGATTGCTTGCCGCCGAACCGCGTCATAGCCAATAAAGACGCACCGCTGTTTCTCGCCGCCGGTTCTCGTTAAAAAATGAATGACTTCTGGCTACTTTGACGCTCTCGCCGCTTTCGGTTTGTGATCGCTCCTCAGTTTGTGAAGGTTTCCCCGCGTTGTCACTCCACTCCACCTCCTTTCCCCGCTCCTCAATTTGTGACAGATATATACACTAGATATCGCGTAGGGACCCTGAGCATGCGTCAATAGCGCCGCCACATTGGTACAGTGCTCCCAGGACAAATGTCATTCAACCGCACTAGTCAAGACAGTGTTATTACGTGAAGATGCGGGACTTTAGCGCTTACTACGGGTGTAGTAACGAGCAAACAAAGAAAACAAAGCACAAAGGCAGAACACTTCATAGGTAAGATTAGGTTGTTTACGTTTTTGTATGTTCTGAAATTTGTGCTAAACAGGTAACGTTTTTGATGATAACAGTCACTTACTGCATTCACCATAAGGCAAAGCAGCTCCAACTCGCTCTAAATACTCGGGTTATGCTAGTTCTGTTGAATAAAATCAGCAAACAATGCAAAAGAAATATGACGAGATGCTGTGGTACCAGAAACTTGTATTGTTGGCTAGTGAAGGAGTCGTTCATAATGGAGATTCATTCACAAACGAATCGCTCCCTCTGTCAGTATGAGAAGTGAAAGCAGGAGAGGAGCTGTGTTTCAGGACACGAATTTGATCAAATTTAACAGGGAGGGTGAATAGTACATTTCTGTACACACAAACACAAGCTTTTTGTCAGAAATGCCCGTGCGGTCACTGATCCATCAATGTAGAAAAGTGATGTAAAATTATAATTTTTGTAATTAAAAAAAAATTGCATACTAACATCCAGGAAAACTCCCGATCATAGATATATGTGTATATGTGTATATCTCTGGCTCTGCCCCCCCTCAACTGGGGGCCCCGTCGGTGATCCCTGCAGGGGGGCCTCCGCATTTTGCGCTACGCCACTGCATAAAACTAAAAAATCCCAAAAGAACACTGGTTTAAAAACAGATTTGATGCATTCAATCCAAAAACCTGTGGTGTCCGTTTCTTTTATTTATGTCTTTTTATTATTATTTTTTTACTTCAGGTTGTGAAGAAAGAAGTCTACGGCCGCTACCATGCCACTCTTTGGTAAATCTCACAAAAGTCCCACAGAAATTGTGAAGACTTTGAAGGACAACCTCTCCATCCTGGTCAAGCAGGACAAGAAGACAGAGAAGGTATGAGATTTGGTGACTGTCGAGTGAATTACAGCTGCTGATTAGACAATATTCTCCATAGGAATTATATCAGGTAACCATGAGAAGGGAAAATTGCCCATTTTGCAGGTTGATTTAAATTGCTGGCTTTTTTTTTTTTTTTTTTGAAGAGTGCAGTGGATTACTAGCACTTTACAGGATCTGTACTACATTTTAATAACTCTGATTTTATGTAAAAATGATTGTATTTACTTTGAAAACAAAAGCAAGGTGTTCGGTGCATTCCGCTTTTGTGATGGATTGCATCTGCTTTTACACTGAGAGGCCGTTAAGATATTTGTTTTCATTTTTTACAAATCCAAACTCAGTCCTGGAAGGTTGGTGTCCTGTAAAGTTTAGTTGCAACCCCACTCAGACATGCCCAGGCTAGCTAATCAAGCTCTTACATGGCTTTCTAGAAATATAATTGCAGGTGTGTTGTAGGGTTGGGCAATGTTGACCGATTTGGCATCGTACAACGTCTAATGTAAAACATTGTGATGAACGATGGCACCGTCGTCATAGGTGAAGGTGAATTAATTATTTATGAATAATTCATTCATTCATAACAAATTAATTATTTGTAGCCTACCGTTTCAACTACCTGACCCGCATGGTCTTTGTTATACGCATAACCAAATCATAAATAAATCCAGCGATCCAGTGGTACATCCTTGATAAACTGTCAGACGAGCAGTGCTCTCAGACGCGTGTGCGGGGCGGGGGATTGGCAATGCTAGCTCGGCATTGTGTTGTCTATTAGCCATCGGCGATGGACGATGGTATCATCTATCGGCCCAACCCTAGTGTGTTGAGGCAAGTTGGAGCTAAAATCTGCAGGACACCGGTCCTCTAGGACTGAGTTTGGACATCCCATGCAGAAATAGTTTTCCTGTGGTTTTTTATTTATATTTTTGTTGACATTTTAAATGTTATAATGCATTTTAGTAATATGAAAGGATGTTCAGGTATTGAAGTTATACTAATTTAATTATATAAAATATTTTTTTTATAATAGTTGTTTGTTGACCCAGAACACAACACTCATCCCTGACATCATCCAGACATCGAACTCTCCTTCACCCATGGCCTTTAGTGGCTCTAAAGTTGGACTGTTCCCCCACAGTCCAAAGACATGCGATACAGGTGAATTGGGTAGGCTAAATTGTCCGTAGTGTATGAGTGTGTGTGTGAATGTGTGTGTGGATGTTTCCCAGAGATGGGTTGCGGCTGGAAGGGCATCTGCTGCCTAAAAAACTTGCTGGATAAGTTGGTGGTTCATTCTGCTGCGACGACCCCGGACTAATGAAGGGACTAAGAAAATGAATGAATGAATGAATGAATGAAGGTGTCTAAAACTGATTACCTCATCTCAGGTCACGTTTACACTAGTGCGTTTTAGTTTTAAAATGGCGTTTTAGATAAAAAATTATCCGCATCCACACTAGCATTTCACCTAGCATCTTTGAACAAATCTCCGTCCACACTACGCACCAAAAACGTATCACGTGACCATTCGCGCACTCTGGGCATGCGCGCTCGAGTATAAACAGAAAGCATGTGTCTCGCTCGCCATTTGGTTATCGTTAGTCAACAATTGCCGGTTGAACATTAAACGCGATGGCAAAGAAAGCAAAAGAGGTATTTTTGTGGACAGACAACGAGGTCGAGTTGTTACTAAACGTAACAAATATATAACTGCACAATGGCGTCAAAAACAGACAATATAGCAAACCACGCTCCCATTTCTGTGCCCATGCTGTTATTTACAGTACTGTATTCCGGTAGCATTAAAGTCATGTGATAAGGACTTGACGAATAAGGGAAGGATACGTAATGGCACAAAAGCCCCAATCAGGTAGTGAATCTCAGCAGTCCCGCCTCCGTTTTCAGATGTCTCCGTTTTTCCTCATCCACACATCCACAGCGTTTTAGAGCTCCGTTTTCGGCGCTCGAGAACTCCGGCGTAGTGTGGACGAATGGCGTAAACGTAGCAAAACTTGTGCGTTTTAAAACGAAAACGCATTAGTGTAAACGGGGCCTCAGTGGGTCGAAAATTGAGGGAAAATGGTCATCCAAATCATCTAAATCAAAGACTCATATCAACTCTAGAAAGCTCTATAAGTCCTATAAGTCCAGTACCCTGCGGCACTTCCAGCAACAGCTCTGCTTCCTGGAATGCTTCATATTTGTGCTGTGAGTAGAAAGATGTCAGTGAGGTGGGAATGTCTCTCCTGTGCTGGACCTCTGGCTCATTTTCACCTGCCCGCTAACACCCTTTTCAGCAGCTCTGTGCTAAAGTCAAGCGTTTGAACAGCTGGAAACCTGCTGATCCTCAGAGAAATGTGATCCTTACACTTCTCCATAATTTCAGCCATATCAACATCTGATAAATGGATAATGATGTTCTGTGAATAATGAGATTACCTGTGAAATTACTCAGAATTCTTGTTCAGAGAGGAGTGTGATGTGTGGTGTAACATCTGTTCTATATACTGATGTTTGGAAATGGCTGATGTGTGCTGAATGATCAGTGTTGTTTGTATTGATAGTCTTGTGTGTGTTTGTGTCAGGCTTCAGAAGAGGTGTCGAAGTGTCTGGTGGCAATGAAGGAGATCCTGTACGGCACCAATGATAAGGAGCCGCACACAGAAACCGTGGCTCAGCTGGCCCAGGAGCTCTACAACAGCAGTCTGCTCATCTCACTAGTGGAGAACCTGCAGGTCATCGACTTTGAGGTTAGGAGGCTTTATTCAACAAATGAAGACTTTTGCATGGATGCATTAATAAGAAGTGACAGTAGAAGATTTTTTCATGATTGCAAAAGATTTCAGATCCACATAAATGCTGTATTTCAATTTCATTTATTTGTATAAAATTTTATTTTATGTAATTTTAATTAATTTTTTTACATGTTTTTATAGTTTATTTTATGTTTATTATTTTAATTTTATTATTATAAATCAAATTTTAATTAAATTTTATGCATTTTTAATTTGTTTTATTTTGGTAAATTGTAATTTATTTTAAATTGTATTTATTTATATTGTATTTATTTTATTTTTATTGAATTAATTTAATTAATTAATTTTCATTTTAATTGTTATAATTATAGTAATTTAAATTCATTTTAAATTGTTTCGTTAGTTTGTTTTTATTTGAATTTAGTTAATTCTTATTTTATTAATTTTCATTTTTTTTTTTTTTAATTTTATTCCTTTTCATTTTTTATTTATTTTATTTTCGTTTATTAATAAAATTTTTATTAATTTTAATTATTTTAATTGTATTAATTTTAATTTCAATTAATTAAATTTTTATGAATTTTAATTTCATTTATTTATTATTTATTTAAATTGACATTTTTTATATTTATTGTACAAATTTTAATTTAATCTATTTTATTTTTATTTAATTTATTTGACTAATTCTTATTTAATTTATTTATTATTATTATTTTATTAATACTAGTTTAATTTTTATTTATTTGTTTATTTTAATTTAGTTTTCTTTAGTTTGAATTATTTTTTATTTAATGTAATTTATTTTTATTTTATTACATTTTACTTGTTGGATGGCTACCTATAAATGTATGCTTGTCCAGTGCTCTTTTAACAGAGATGATTCTTTTCAACACATTTTTAAACAAAATTATTTAGTAACTAATATGTAATAGCAAATTTATTTTATCTTTATCATGATGATAGTAAATAATATTTTTTCTAATTTTGTAAGGTATTTGTCTTCAGCTTAAAGTACAATTTAAACTCTTATCTGGGTTGATTAGAGTTACTAGACAAGTTAAGTGAATCAGGCAATCATTAGACAACAGTGGTTCATTCTGTAGCCAATTGATTTCAATTTATGTAAAGGATCCAAAAGGGGGCGAATAATACTGACCTTATTTTTATTCCAGCCAATCTAAAAGAAATACGATTGTCTTCGAAAGAAAAATACAATAGCAAGAAATTCAGTCAAAAAAAAACTACCTTGGTTCTGTTAAACATCACTGAAAACTAGCTTTATTAAACTCTATTAAATTAAATTAAAGAAAAATAATACCCAAAGAATAATAAAGGAGAAATATTGGAAAAATAATACAAATTTCACAGGAGGGCTAATCATTTTGTCTTAACTTTGTCTTTATTTTCAAATCAAGTAGATGGTTGGACATAATTGGCATCTTATCAATTTAAAAAAAGTTGTATTAATCAGTGTAATGATATTGTGTGTGTGCGCACGCGCGTGTGTGTGTGTAGGGTAAGAAGGATGTCTGTCAGATCTTCAACAACATCTTGCGTCGTCAGATCGGGACCCGCAGCCCGACAGTGGAGTATTTCTGCTCCCATCAGGAAGTGCTCTTCATCTTACTCAAAGGGTGAGAAAGAAGCTGCTCTCATTGAGGAGCTTCACAACCATCAGTCCAGTCATTCTAGCAGTTTAACAATATACAGATGCGTCAAGATCAAAGCACAGCACATCAAATGCATTTCACCTCCTCAAGACTCATTTTCATAATGATGGCATTACTGTGTGATTCATGCAGGTATGAGACTCCTCAGGTGGCGTTGAATTGTGGGATTATGCTGCGCGAGTGTATCCGGCATGAGCCTCTCGCCAAAATCGTCCTCCATTCTGAACACTTCAAAGATTTCTTCAGCTATGTGGAGATGTCCACATTCGACATCGCATCTGACGCATTTGCCACTTTTAAGGTGAGCGCTTCACATATTACACATTATGTCCATTAAATATATGAGAAGTCTGTGATATGATTTAAAATGTCTCGTTTTATTATCAGCATTACAGTAAATAACAGTCATTTTATGCAAAGAGAAAGCAGATTCAGTGCAAGCAAAGTGTCTTTAATGTTTCAAATAAAATATGGAAAAACTAAAATGTTTTTCATTTTATTTATTTATTTTTATTTATGAAAATAAAAAATATTTTTATTTTATTTATTTTTAATCTATTTTTATTATTTATATTTATTTATTTTATTTATTTATTTTTGTTTATTTTAATTTTAATCAATATATTTTTATAACATTTTTTAATTTTTTATGTAATTTATTTATTTTTATGTATTTATTAATTTATTATTATTATTAAAATTATTATTATTTATGGGTCAAAAAAATTGTGATACCATTTTAATTTTTTGAAATAAAAATGTTTTTAATTAAAAAAAATTATTTACTATCATATATTTATTTTTCATTCATTTATTTTTATTTATAATTATTTATTTTCATTTATCTTCATTTATTTTTATTTATTTTTGTTTTCATTTATTTATTTATTTTTAATATTTATATATTTTTAATTTTCCTTTATTTTAAATTTTTTATTTATTATTATTATTACTTATGGGTCAAAACAATTGTGATGCCACTTTCAATTTTCTGCCACCTATTGGTCAAAAGTTCTAAACCAATAAATCATTCATATGTTCATTGTTTTCATGATTTTTTTGATGTTGATTTTGGCCTGTGGACTGCTTTACTCATTCTGCCTCAGGACTGCTTTGCTCATTCTGCCTTTCAATTCTATTCAGATAGTTTTTCAAGTCATCTGATTAACATTCTTGTTTTTTTCTTATTGCAATATATTTCTTAGAAAAAAAGTTAATTAATGAATTAATATTAAAAACAGGATTTGCTGAATGTGAAATTAATAATTGATTAATTATTTTTTCCCATCAGGACCTGCTTACGAGACACAAGGCTCTGGTGGCTGAGTTTTTAGAACAGAACTATGATGCGGTAAAATATCAGTTTTCTTACAAATAACTCTTCTCACCCAGTTCTGCAAAGCTGCGATTGTTCAAGGATTCATGCTGGTCTATTCCAGGTTTTCGATAACTATGAGAAACTGCTTCACTCCGAGAACTACGTGACCAAGAGACAGTCGCTGAAGGTATGTGTCTGTGTGTCTGTGTTCAGACATGTGGTTTCTGTCATCCGTCCTGTCATTAATGGCCTGTGTTTGTGTGTTATTTACCGGACAGCTGCTGGGTGAGCTGCTCCTTGACAGACACAACTTCACGGTCATGACGCGGTACATCAGTAAACCAGAGAACCTGAAGCTCATGATGAACCTGCTGAGAGACAAGAGTCCCAACATCCAGTTTGAGGCCTTCCACGTCTTCAAGGTACCCATATTGCTATTTCCTCTGTTTTCTGTCCCGCAAAACACAATTGCTGCAGAATATCCATAACAAACTGTATTCAAAATCAGAATTAGGCCGTCTCAAATTATAGTATGTTGACAGAAGTATTACAAAGATATCTGCATGAAAATCTCTGAGGAAGCTGGTGATGTGTTCAATACTTATTTCCCCTGCTGTGTAAATCAAGGGTCTTGAAACACCAAAACACATTTTTTAAGCTGTTGACAGTCATATATGTGTCCTACATTGCTAAAAACACTAGTAGGACACACACATTTCACTATAATGAAAATTGGTTTTATTTGCGTTATTCCAAGCAACTTCATTCTTCCAGTTTTAAAAATGAATTTTGAAGCTGCGTCACGACGATGAGATCCTTGTGTAAATTCCAGCGTGGAGATTGGATGTCTGTAATGGCCTGGACAATGTGATGTCATTGAGTTTTCAGCATTAATTCATGAGAAAGACTTGATTACAACAAATCAGCGCGCTCTATTGTGCATGAGGTGCAACTTCATTAATATGCATGATAGAGCTTTGTTGTGTTGTCAATCGTAATTAAAACGAGTGGAAGAAGAATTGTTCGGAGACATGGGTCGTCAGTGTTACGTTTGTAAATGTTCCACAACAAAGGTTTTGTTTTCCTTCCCCTGTGATAAAAGCACAGCTTGCGTTTGGATTACAGTGGTCTGCTAACACGCGACAAAAATGTGGTTGTAAGGAAAAAAGTTTACACGAGCATTTCGCATCTGGAAACGGTGAAATCCGCATTTGCCGTTTGTCGTCTTTTGTTTGTTTATTCAGATGGCAAAGTTAGTTAATATTGTCAGCAGTACTTCCGTTTTTAAAGACATCCCTTAGTCAAAATTAGTTTGCAGTACACAGTACAGTGTACAGTAGTATGTTACTATTACTGCAATATTATCAACTGAAAGATTCGTTGTAATTGCCGCTCTCCCAATGTAAACATATAAACACTTTAATCAAACTATTATCGTCGTGGAGAATTTTCGCCACGTATGGCTTTTGCCGCATTTTGTGACAGGATACACACACACAGCTGTCTGACACTATTTTCCGCACCTACCGAATCAGTAAAGGACCAATCAGTAAAGACACTTGCATCGCTGAATTGCCAAGGTTTTTTTTTTTAGTCACCATGCTGTATCAAATGTATTGTTTTGTCTCGTTTGTCATGGAGGAACGCATGAAATGTTCCTGAATGAAAGTGAAAGTGCCAAACTGCTGCTAAAGTCAACAAACAAAGAATAAAACACCTGAAATTACTTGAAACTCCATTTTATGGTGACGCAATGACGTTAATCAAATTATGTACTATAACATGTAAAACGGGATCATGAAAGGAACATTTAAATAGCAGCTCATGTAATTGCTTCATTCATATCACGGTCTTATTCAGATTAAGGAAAATAATTTGATAACTGGAGTCCATGTAAACGTAGTCAATGTCTATCTCCCCTGTGTCAGTGTTTTCAAGTGTACTTGCTTGTACTGAAATTCCCCTTTCCATGTAAACCCTTCCCTTTTTTGCTACTCGACACTCCCACCTAAACACAGCTGGACTCACCCACTTTCCTGAATTTTTGTCAAACCAATTTTCCCTTTTTTTGTTGTGAAATATGTGTCCTAATAGTGCTTTTAGCAATGTGGGACACGTATGACTGTCAACATCTTAAAAAGTGTTTTGGTGTTTCGTGACCCTATAAAATGCAAAGGAAATCGTAGACTTGTTACTATTCAAGATGTCCCTTGTTTGGTTTTTTTCCCTTTAATATATTCACAATGATTAAAAGTGTTTTATATGCTGCACTACATTACAAATCCTAAAGGAGAATATACGGAGCTTGAAACGGCTGTTCATTATGGTTAAAATTTCTCTCTATTGTTCTGTTTGTGTCTGCTCAGGTGTTCGTGGCCAATCCAAATAAAACGCAGCCCATCGTAGACATTCTGTTGAAGAACCAAACCAAACTCATCGACTTCCTTAGCAACTTTCAGAAGGATCGCACAGACGACGAGCAGTTCAACGATGAGAAGACATACCTGGTCAAACAAATACGAGACCTAAAGAAACCGGCCTCCTAAACTCTAGCTACTTCAGTATTAGGAAAACAAACAAAACACACACACACACACAAAAAATTATATTAACAATAATAATTCTATTTAAAATCTCGACAGATTTGTCTTTTCTTAGTTCTGAGGCTTACAAATTCCTCATCGTTGACGTTCTCCGTTTCTTATTTTGCGTTTCCCCCTATCGTGATTTTGATTTAATCGCGAACGTTTTTGTGCCATGAATAGGATGTTTTAAAAGTAGGAATCAGCCAGTTTGAATTGCAGGAAGAATCGACTTCGAGATTCGTCTCTCTGCGGATGAGGAAGTACAGGTAAACTTTCACTCCTCCGTTTCTGGATGTTTCTTTCTCGGTTCCTGGAGACTCGACGTGACTGAAAGTTTGCGTTTAATTGCTGGAGAAGATGAAGAGCTGTTGATTTCCTCTCTGTAACTGCACTAATCCTGCTTTGTCCAGCTCTTATTTCCACGACACTACCAACCTGATCATTTCCTCTCTGTTCTGTTTGTGTTTCATTTAAGAAGGAAGAATTCATTTATCAGTATTTTAATGATGGTTTATCTGAAGCAGGAAGAGCGTCTGTGGGTCTTTGTGTACAAATTTTCCTCTCGTTTTCTTATTACTATTCTTATTTTATATATTTTTACTTCAGTTTTTTTTTTTAAACACGCTGATTTTACTCTTTAAGGTGGTTGCCATTTTTATTTCGAAAGAAGAAGAATCTTGAAAAATCAACTTTGGCACTAAGTGAACCGGTGTAAATTCCAGCTCTAGATTTCAATGTAGATCAATGAGGGTTTTCTCCTGTAGCGCTTTGGTTTTACTATAGTATCCTCAGCGCTATAGTATCTTAACTTTAGTGCGTCAGACTGAAGTACTTCTTTATACTGTAGTGCAGCTGTAGTGTTATACTATAGTATTTCATTTTACTGTAGTATGTATTTTGTGCTATAACCCATAATTCAGCTGTCTTTGATGAATTGGACAGAAGTAGATTGTTGCATAGCTGAAAATCAGATGAAATGAGGACGCAAATGTATAAAACAGGTGCCTTTTTGTTCTTTTTATTATTATTATTATTATTATTATTTGAGATTAAATATTGGAAGGGGGAGCTTAATTTCTTTTTATTGTTTTAAATATGTTCTGATTGGGCATATTTCGCTTGATTAAGCAATGAACCTCTTTAACTCACTATATTGGAGTTATGCTGTTGAAGAAAATTCATTAAATTTGATTCTGTTTTTCCTCTTTGGTTGATCGATTCAGTTTATTTTTATGACGTGTTTTGTTTGGGATGAAATATGCTTTGAGGTTTGGATCTGTCGCCCGTAAAGAGAAGAAAAACCCATTTCTGTTCTCTTAAGGCAACTGTTTTCAACTCTTAAATCCGTCTGAGCCACATTTATTGAATATTTGTCAGCCTTTACATTGAAAATGCCAAACCGTGTGTTCACAATATGAAGTCAAAATCTTTCCTACTACAAACACCGGTGCGGTTTTCATCTGAAATGCTAAAAGTACCGTATCAATAAAGATCAAGTGAAGCATTAGCAGCATCATTGACTCATTTTTTCCCCCCAAAAAAATGCAATAGTGCAAATTTGTGCTATGTAAATTAAATTCTCCATTTTCAATAAATATATTTCACACGAGCACATGATGAAACGGTTATCTTGTCAATTTGACAATTAATGCGCAATTATAAAACCCCAAAGTCCCCAAACCTGGTCTCTGAAATGCATTTACAGTACGCTAAACATAAACACTTTGCTGATTTGCATCATGCAGCATATGAGGACGGCAGGTTCAACTGTTCTTCATCATCAGGGTGTTGGACAGTTTCTGATGTACAGTATTAATTGCTGTATCTGAAAATGTTGCTGCTATGCAGACAGAAAAGCAGCTTTTAAAATATCATCTAAGATCGCGGTCTTTTATTGCACTTAAAACTGCTTTCCTCGTCTTTTCGTTTAAAGCAACCATCTGCAAAGAAAAAACAACAAATATTATAGATTTTACCATGGAAATTAAGGATTCAGGTACTAATAAACAATAATTCACATGCCATATATGTATTATTTTTGTAGAAATAAAACAAAACACACTTGCTGTAGGGAGAGCATCTTGTTCTGAAGTGTTTCTAATGGAAGATCTCTGCTGCCACTGAAAAAAAAAAGTCAAATCAGTTTATATATATATATATATATATATAAAATAGTCAGTCAATAGTTTTGAACAGACAATAAAAAAAAAAAAACACAGTGGTCCCTCACAATAACACAGTTCATTTTTTGTGGCATTATAGATTCTTTTTTTTTTTTTTTCATGTAATTTGACGCATTTTTCCCTCAGCGCATTGTGTTCTGTGTTCGGTCCATACTTTGACGGTGCGCCACTGATCTTCTCTTCACCTGCACCTTTACACCAGACCAATGTTCAGTCCCCACTGCATTAACTGTGTCAGCTAAACTCTCCCACTCTATTTTTTAATGTTTTTTTTTTCTTTCTTTTTTTATTAATTCCGGAGGAAAAACTTGCAAATAACAATTTTTCTCTGGTCTACCTCTGATAGAAGCACCTCCAATTCACATTCTGTGAAATTTATCTTGCTTCCTTTTTCGTTTGGTTTTGCTAAAGTGGAGTCATTACCATATTTATACAGGGGAGGAGGCAGGGAGGGGTTTTGTGCTCGTGCGCTCAGTTTCACGTTAATTTTGATGTACAAAGAGAATATGCGTGGGATTCTGCGTATGCAGTGTTTTGTACATCTGATTTTTTTTAACGCTGTATGCACATTTACAGCTTTGTCCATATGCAGTGTTTTAGTATGAATTCAACACAAGTCTTTTTACATGAGGCCCCTGGACTGTATGCTTGCAAGTTTTCTCCCCACAATGTCGACGAAACGTTCTGCACCCAAAATGCAGAGGAAGATGCCAACCATCACACAAAAGGTTGGACTTCTGTAGGACGCCATTACAGAATAAATAAATGAAGATGCAAAGTTTTTGATCTTTGGTTTCATTTTATAATACTGGACATATGTTTCTACAAAGGTTTGAACTTTAAGAGTGTTTAAATGAGAGAGAAGTTAATGTTATGTCTGTCTGAGAAAAGTGTGTAGTGAGGGGACACGTCTATAATCATTGTAAAAAATAAAGCGCACTACTTTATGAATTTCACCTATTGCGAGTTATTTTTTTTTAGAACGTAACTCTTGAGATAAATGAGGGACCACTGTAATTCATTTGAATCATTGATCATTACCGAATAAATCTGAGTTCTTTAATGATTTGAACGATTCAGTGACCAACAAAAGCTTCACTCCTTTCACTAATCTTGCATTTGCTGAATCTGCATTTTTGAGCAGTTCTGTTGAATAATTCAGTGACTCGCTCAAAGAATTGTTTCATTACAGATGAATCAGTAGTTTTTTGAATGCATGATTCAATGACTCACTCAAAAAAATTAAAAATCAAAAGCCAATAAGTTAAGGCAACTCAAACCATTTGAGAAAACCGAATGCCACAAACCATTTGAGTTAAACTAATCTATATGAGTACTGTGAACTTACTCCATTGAAGTAATGTGTTTTTTATTAACTCATTACCTTCAACACTGAGTTCAAAACTCTTTTCAAATGAGTAGAATTACCTTATAGTAAATTTTGAGTTAACTACACATTTCAGTTGAAGTTGACTGTTGGGTTTAACCGTGTATAAGCATTCCCTTCTGAATTACTGCATTTCATTAAGCTAATAATCATTTCTCACGCACACTTACGATGAACTTTTGGACGCCGTTGAGTTTGTTGAACCTGAGGTATGAGATGTCGTGTTTGACTTTGTTGCTGTCCAGGTCAGTGGTGTAGATCTGCTTTATTCCAGCGCAGCCAATCAGAGGGACACACTCGTCACACGGGCACTTGGTCACAAACATCATGGTGTTGTCCTCTGCTTTGATCTCTGCGCTCCTGCGGAAATAAACGACAACAGACAAACCCAATCATGAATTTGCCTTGATGTGCATATCGACATCCAAATGATCTCCTCACCTGAACGTGAGTGCGTTCTGCTCTGCGTGAAGGATGTATCTGTATTTCCGGTTCTGTCTTTCCTCCTGCTTGTGGTCCATCTGAGGATACTCTGCGTACTGTGAGCCCACTGGATAAGCGTTGTATCCGCAGCCCACTAGATAAAGCTGACCCGTGCCATCACACTGTGACTGCAAAAAAAGGGGGGGAAAAAGCTGTTTGTTGGCCATTCTTCAACTACGGGCACTTTTAGCCTTGTGAAGTTGAGTAAAAAAAACTAGTTTAAAATGAAATGTAACATTGCCTCATAAGTTTAAAGCATTTGTCTAATTTTAAGATCTGTAAGAGAACAAACTTAGATAAAAAGAGAAACATTTTTTCCATCGTGAACTGAACAAATGTCAATTCCACCACATCTCAATATCCAGCTTATTTCAAAATGAAAAATGAAGGCAGTCAAACACTGTCTAAGATCATTTTTGTATATAGTTTAACCAGTCTTTCCACAATATATATAATAATCATACATTTGTCAATGAAATAAATGAGTTGAATGCTGAATTGAACACCTGTCACAATCTAAAACAGTGGTCACCAAACTTGTTCCTGGAGGGCTGGTGTCCTGCAGATTTTTGTTCCAACCCTAATCAAACACACCTGAACAAGCTAATCAAGGTCTTACTTGGTATACTTCCAGGCAGGTGTGTTGAGGCAAGTTGGAGCTAAACCCTGCAGGGACACCGGCCCTCCAGGACCGAGATTGGTGACCCCTGTTCTAAAACATAATATTAATTTGGTTAAGAGCTTAATAGTAAATAAATGAACTGAATTTGTATATTAAATAGAGCATGAACTCATACATTGTGAATACACTTCTAATGTGTGATGAGAACTTTTTAAATATTTTTAGAAATGTGTGAGGTGTGTGTGGTGGAAATGACAGTGGTGGAAATGACATTTCAGTTTATTGTGAAAAAATAAAAAATAGCTTCACCGATTAGCTTTGAATTGATGTGTATACAAAACACTTTTATTTACCTTCATTTTGTTTGGTTTTAAAAACATCTTTGAATGTACAACATATTTGGAAATGACGTATACAAATGTATTTCTTTATCAAGCAATAGTTACCTTGATTTTTCTTCAAGTGTTGTTGATAAAAATGTAAATTCCCTCCATCTTGAACATGTTCTCAGATGGCACTATTCATTTTCATAGAAAGCACCTAAATAATCTTTCACAGAAACTTTTTAAAGCGCCATTACAGTGCTGTGGTGGAAATGACACTGATACTGTGCGACAGCTATATTTTGTATAAAAAATAATATTGATAATAGTCTCACAATAATAACTAGAAAATATTGAAATTATTTCACTGGTGCTTCATTAAGATACATTAATAGAGGCTAAATAAATATTTTGAAATGTTATTTTCATTGTTGAAGTTTAAAACTGAGTGTGCGACACGGTGAAAACAGTGATTTTGACACCTAAAAAGAGGTTGAAAAATATAGTAATTTTTTTAAGTAGGTTTTATTGTTAGTTTGACAAAGAAAGAGGGATTTGAACAAAATAATATATATTTTTGGATATCTGATCAAAGGACATAAAAGTGTTGAAGAATTACCCTTGTATTTGAAATGCAAAAATGGTGAAGCGTTCACTGCAGTTTTTCACTCACCTGTTTTCCCTCTGCCCAAATAACTGCACCGACTCCAACTTTAGGATCCTCTACAGAGACAGAGATGAGTTCAAATGTGTCATAAAAACACTTAATAATGTTCACATTAGTTAACCATAATAATCAACAGGAACTACCAATGAATAAATCACATGTGGTCATCATAAACAAGTTCATTTCAACAGTAATATATCATTCAAATAAATAAATACACGCATATATACACATTTTTTTCTGCTTGTTCAAACTACTTATTTAAAATGAGTTGAATCAACACAATTCTCGAGCATTTTTTGGGGGGGACAACTTAAATGTTTTGTTCAATCCACTTAAATTTGTAATAACAATTCATTTAACTTAATTTGTGTTGGGATGACATGAGGAAATTGCGCAGAATCCTGCTTTTTTCTGTGTATTTCTAACATTTTATTTACTACACTAGACATTAATTAACTAATGAATGTTATAATTTAATTATAATTTAATAATTGTAAATACTTTTAATAACATTAATATATGACTTTCTGGAATACTTGATTCTGATTGGTCAACCAGCACTCCATATTCCCACATAACCATCACTGAAACTAATACAAAAAGCCAAAAGATTCCATATAATAATGAATACTCTGCTAATATTAACACTAGATGCTAGTATATTTAAATTCAAAAGCAGTACCTACTGAGTAGTAGGTGATTTCGGACGCAGCCTTTATTTATTTGTGACAAATAAGCGAATCAGCTTCCGGGTCCAAGTGCTATATCAAACTGTATGGGGGGACTCAACAAATGGTAATAATAAACATTTACGAAGAACTGTAATACTTTCAAAAATCATGATCGCTATATTAATATCCATGACTGATATCTGGTGACCAGAAATTGACTAATTCTTTAATAATTTCTTTAAAAATTGGTGTCTTTGATGCAGTAAGTCCTTACATTGTACCGTACAACATGATTGTATATAAAATTCACTTTAAATGGCCCTAAACTAATATTTGCTCAATTTAAATGAGTAGCGGCTCGGTCCCCGAAACACTATACTATAAGTCACGGCGGTTGTTGCTAGAGCGGATTCGTTTGCGGCCGGAAGTTAACGAGAATTATTTCTATTATTTATTAAATTTCTCATTTGTTGTATTTTATTAACGTCTACCCCCACCCTAAACCCAACCGTCACAGTAATGTAAAATCAGTTGTTGTACCGAGTATTAGTTATGTTATCTATTAAATTACCCAATAAAATGCATTTTTTAACGCCTACCCCCACCCCAACCCTAAACCCAACCCTCACAGTACTGTAAAAATATTAATTATTGTTATGCAGTGTCATAAAAAATGCTGCTTTATTAATGTGCATATTGCACTTCCGGCCGGCCGCATATCCGATCTAGGCTGTTTCTTAGTATGCGTTCTTCAGCGGCCTTGCGTCCTCAGGTTCTCGTGAAACGTCATCATCAGCTGCCTAAGTTCAGTTCCAATACTCAAGACCGCAAGAACAGAGGACGTGTGAAACTTCCCGGATGTGTTCTTGATATCGAGGACGCAACAATGCAGACTTGAGCACCGAACTCGCTCTGGAAGTCCCAGAAGTCATTGCGACTGGAGATGGGAAGCGCAGCATTTTATTTAGATTTATTATTAAAGTTCAGAGATATCACTTATTTACCTCAGGAGTTTCCCTAAATGAAACGGTGAAAGTAAACATTAACATGAATATCTTAATAAAGGAATAAACACATTAAGGGTGTTTGTTTGCTGAAATTCATATTAAAATTTGTTATATTTATATTGTGCAGAGTATATTTATAATGCTTTTATGCAAAGTATATATTTTGAAGAGGGGGAAAACAATAAATTGTTGTATGAGTGCTGTAATGTTTAAATAATTTCCATATAAAACGCCTAAAGGTCATGTGACCATCAGGAAGAACGCAGCATCCCATTTCTCAAAGGACGCGTTCTCTGCCCTCGCAGTCTCCTGAGTTCAGGGGCGGACTGGCCATCTGGCAATTCTGGCAAATGCCAGAAGGGCCGGACCAATTTTTAAATGTGGGCCGGTCAGTTTTTTTTTTATATGTATTGTTTTTAAGTGCAGACAGCTTTTATCCCTTGCTAGATGTGATATTATGATGATGATAATAAAAATAATAATAATAAATGTTAAGCATTTGGCCAAATCGGCAACTGCCGCCTGGTTTCAAGATGGGCCGACCCAATCCAAGGTTACCCGGATATAATCAAAACCTGGCTAGAATGTTACAGTATAGTATAGTATAGTGAATGTGTGTGTCTGTGGGTGGGGCTGTGTCGGTGGGGTAATGTGGGCTGGTGTGGCAACAGTGCCAGGGCTGAATTTTTCTCCCAGTCCGCCCCTGCCTGAGTTCGTTCTTCCGAGGACACCTGGCAAAACCGCTCTCCACAAGAACGCAAGTCCGTTCTCTGCGTTCTTGGAATTGAGAAACAGCCCTAGACTTTACCAGTCACGGCTTAACAAGCGAATAGTTTGAATGGGGGAAAAGTGTAACGGTCAATACAGTGATGAAGCCCCGCCTTCCAGTACAGGAGCCAATCAGTAATCAATATAGACTGAGGATTCTCTGCGGGAGGGGCTCAGACCAGACGAGATTTTTTTTGTGATTCAAACGTTTATACATGAAACTAAAGAGACAGTTGTTGTTTAATTGATTAAGTGATTCCTAATGTGAAATGTAATCGTAAGCAATTTTGTATAATTTGATGTTTCCCCATTCGAACAGAATGCCCAAGAGGCGTTTCAAAGATGCCCGCCGAGTGAAATGACTTGCCTTAAAGGGACTTTGTTTGTGATGTGCAACTAAAGACAAACAAAAAAAAGTCAAAAAACAAACCTGTTCTACACGCCAGTAAGCGGGCCTGTATGACACAGTGTCGTATGACATCCTGAGGTAAACCTGGAGAACCCATCCCAACAGGCTCCCTCATGAAGAAACCGTAATCTTCTAGAAGAGCGGGAACACTAGAGGCCACAGACGCCAGGATCCGTATCAGATTCCTCATATGCTGCCTCAGGTTGCTAAAATTTGGTTCCATGCAAAAGTTCTCCAGCCCCATCTTGTTCAGCACATACTTATGCCGCTCCTCATCGCTTATGAAGAACTTCTCTAAGAAGTTGTCCGAGTTGTTCCAAAATTCCCTCCGGTAGATATCTCCAGTGTCCAGCGCCGGATTGTCCGCAACGATCTTCCCAAGAAAGTCTGCGTTTTGTGAGGTTTCGTCCAGGAACTGCAGGACGGTGCAGTCCAGGGGCTGCAGGAGCACGCTGATGTGAGGTCTGCTGTTGGACTTCAGGCGTTCTGCTGCAGTGGCGTCCAGAACAGCTTCCTGAAGAGCAGACGAGCTGCCGTGATGGAGGCTTTCAGACAGCAGGCTGAGCTCAGCATCACCAGGCCAGTAGGAGATCCGGCTCACTCCCGCTTAAAGGTCCCATGAAATGAAAATAAAACACTTCAGATGTTAGTTTCAGTCTGTTAGCTGCTCAAAATTTTCATATGAAGGTCCAAAATCCAAATTGATTGATGCTGGTGGGCCGAAGGTAAATACAGTTGCAATGGGTAATTTCCTAATTTATTTAACAGTATTTAAAAATGACTAGAAAACATTGCTTTACGTTAACTAATGCTGCATTTTATTTTTATTTTATGAACTTATCACAGTAAAACAGAAACAAATTTCATTTATAACAGAATTACACTAGTTTTTCCTTGATTAGCTCACCGATGTCTTCTACATGGTTCTCCATCCATCGAGTGACATTATTTACTGTACATTTAAAACATATCTGATTCATTTACCAGGGCATGTGCAGGAATCCTAAAGGTAATTTCAATACCTTTTTAAAGACCTTCGCAGAAAATGTTAAGACCTCATCGCCACTTCACGTTCTAATCAGTATCAAGCCTCTAACGTAGTTAACAGCTGTTAACAAAAAAGTTGTAGTTAAATAAATCAATGGAGCACAACCATGCAACTCAGATGAGCTCGGAAGAAACAAAGCTTGAATGAATAAATTATGCATGCAGTTGCTGTCAGCATCAGGTTTCAGCCAATGTTTAAACTCGTCTTTCCACAACCAGGAGTACGCAAACTTACATTTTCCCATTTTGCCGTCTGTTTTGCTCTATGGTTTCGCTACATGTGGAGAGCAATGAGCATCACATCATCTTCCCGCCTGATCTCTAATCACTTATTTATCAGAGGTTCCCACAGCGGAATGAACCGCCAACTAATCCAGCATATGTTTTATGCAGTGGATGCTTTTTCTGCTGCAACCCAGTACTGGGAAACACCCATACACACTCATTCACTCACACACACAAACACTCATCCACAACAGACAATTTCGTTTATTCATTTCACCTATAGCGCTTGTCTTTGGACTGTGGGGGGGAAACGGAGCACCCAATGGAAACCCATGCCAACATGGTAAGAAAATGCAAACTCCACACAGAAACGCCAGCTGATGCAGCCGGGACTCAAACTAGCGACCTTCTTGCTGTGAGGTGACAGTGCTACCCACTGTGCCTACGTAGACCTTAAAAAGTTATTATTGTTTGTAAGAGAGTGTTTTTTCTAAGAGAGAGAGAAATTTTAAAACAATAAATTTGGTATGAATTTGTGGTGGTGGAGATCTTGATCCTGTTCCCTAATGCAGTGCTTCTCAAAGTAGGGGTCGGGAGCCCCAGAGGGGTCGCAAGACAATGAAGGAGGGGGGTCGCCTGGTGATTTCCAAAAATCTATTTATTTTTACTAAACCATAAGTAATAACATATTTTTTCCATAACCTACTGAAGAGAAAAAACAGTCGTTTATAGTTACTATATAGTTTACTTCAGTAGCTTATACTGTTGTTACTAGTTCTATTGGATTGCGACCGCTGGGGTAATTACATTATATTAAAGACACAGCAATAGCGTCAGATGCAGCAGATTGATTTTATAACACCAGGTTAAACTTTCTGGCACATTTACAGCACCGACATACATTTAAAAAATAAACAAAGAATAGACTTGGGTCTATTGGTGTGTGTGCACCATTGCATGCAAGGTTTCTTTATTTATAACCACCTCAGAGGATATTGGGGGTCGCGAGTACCTGGCATTGTTATTTTGGGGGTCGCAGGCTGAAAAGTTTGGAACCCCTGCCCTAATGCCCAAGACGAAAACACACCAGAGTAAAAGTAATTATGACCTGATGCTGAAAGTACTGATTAATGTCACATATATGCTTGCACTTTGTCCCTGGCTACATGGCAACCCTAACAAACACTATAAATACAAATACAACTTCTGGGTATTAGCAATGATTTGATTTCTGAAGGATCATGAGACGCTGAAGACTGGAGTAATGATGCTGAAAATTCAGCTTTGGATATCTCACTGCAAAAATGCATTCTTACTTAAAGCTTTTGTTTTGTTTCTAGTCCAGATATCTAAAAACTAATATATTTGTTTTTTTTGACAAGTAAAAAAATATAGTTTTAATTTTTAGAAATAATTTGTTAAAATCAAGTGAGTTTTTCCTTAAAACAAGCAAAATCTTATTACAAAGTGAAAACTATATTCTTTTTAAATATGTCTACTGCTAAAGGGACAGCTCATTCAAAACTGATAAGTGGTTATCGTTTACTTTCCTCATGTGGTTTTAAACCTTTATGAGATTCTTTCTTCTGTTGAACACAAAAGAAGATATTTTGAAGAATGATGAGATCCATTGACTTCCACAGTAGGAAAAAAATAATACTACGTAAGCCAAGCCAAGCCAATGGGTGCCAGCAACCAAAGTTTTTCAAAATATCTTCTTCTGTGCTCAGAAGAAGACAGAAACTGAGACATTTTTTTAAATCACATGAGCGAGAGTAAATGATGAGGCAATACTTGTTTTTGAGTCAACTATCCCTTTAATGTTTTTGAGGTAAACATAACCATTCAAAGGTTTGGAGTTAGTAAGAAGGATAAGACAAGCACTAAAGTGATCAAAAATAATGGTAAGCACATTTAAAATAGCCCCAAACATTATGATTTCAAAACAAGTGTTGTTAACATTGGTTTTCACCATTGATGAAAACCAGCTGAGTGAGCACCAATAACAACTGAGCAACAAAAAATCAATTCATCTTTATTTCTACAGCACTTTTACAGTGTAGATTGTGTCAAAGCACTTTAACGTAGAAAAAGCCCTAGTAGATTGAAACTGCGTCAGTCCAGTTTTCAGAGTTGCAGTTCAGTGTAATCACATTAGAATGATTTCTGATTCATCATGTGATCCTTTAGGCTGCAGCAATGATGCTAAAAACTCAGCTTTGCCATCACAAGAATCAATTACATTAGATTACATTATGGACAAATATGTCTTCTCCAAGCCAGTGTTTTCGCTCTCTCTCACTGTTTAAAGGTCCCATAAAGGGCTTAGAAATGTGCATTTTCTATTCGATGTTTGACGTTATCTCAACTGGAAAACAAAAAGAGGGTGGGATATAGATTAGCTCCTCCCCTTTAAAAAAACTGCCAATAGCTTTTTGTTTTAATCACAGCCAGTGAGAGTGGTTAAGCTCAAGCGCATCAAATGAAAAGCAAATGAAAAGCGTATTCAAGGGGGCGGGGCATGTCAGATACTAGAGAGCATTTGATTGGTCAAGATTTGATGATAAACTGAAGTATGAGCTGACGTGAATCAAATCGTTTATCCATTTAGGCAGAAGTGACAAACTGCAATCTTTGGATGCTTATACTAGTTTTATATCATCTAAATGCAAATTTTGGCACACTCAAGCTAATAGATTTTCTTAAAACCTGAGATGCCTAAATTAAGGCCCGCGGGCCAAAGTTGGCCCATTGTAACCTCTGATTTGGCCCACCATCCCACCTGAGAAGAGAGTGACAGTGCATTCACACAGGGCTTCAGTTTCAATGCTTGACCAAGGCCGTGTCTGAAGTTGGGGCTGACGCGATCGTCATAGCAGCATCAGCCAATGAAATTAGACCGCAATCGGCTACTGTCTTAGCTGGGGTATTTGCATAAAGTGATCTGATTGGCTGACACTTCCGTTGGCACTTGAAAAGTAAAGAAATTCCTAACTTATGCAGCAAGCAACGCACTGAAGCAGTGCCGACAGATCCACAATTCAGTTCGGCAACGCTCGATGTCACTTATTCAAAGTGAATGGGAAGCGTTGACGCTGACGTCCCATGTGAATGGGGTGAATGTCTTTATAAGAGATCGTCATTTTTAATTTGACGAAGCATATTTTTGTTTGTTTGTTTTATTTCTGAGCTACAAAAAAGCAAACTGAAATTAAATGTTCCAATTAAATGTTGTAAACAGGGTGTCCACGAGGTCTTAAAAAGTTTTCAAAGTTGATAAATCAATTTTGAGAAAATTAAGGCCCTTTAAAGGTATTAAAAATCTTAATTGTGTTTTTATGAGGTCTTCAATTTAGTTTAAGTATTGTCCAAAGTGTTTGACTCAAAAAAAGCATAAATATATTTATTTTCCTCCTAATATTAACAACAGCGTACTCGATCCACGCGATTGGTTCAGGCCGGGGCGTATCCGGCCATTCTCCTCCGCCTGGGTGATGTCACGTAATTTGCGACAAACGAATGACTGAATGAATTGAAGGTCTTTATTAAATTGTGACTTGACAGCAGAGTGTCATTAAACCTTAATATTGTACTAACGTTGAGTGTGCAAAAACCAGTCCTCTCACCATTGATGAGCATCTTCAGGCATGTTGAACAGGGTTTTCTGGAGAAGTAGAGCTCACAGCTCTTCAGTCTGGGTCCATGTTTGACCACAGCCACCTGTCCTGCGTGTAACTGAGCACTGGAGCAATGCAGACCCAAAACTCTGCACTCGTGGACCACCACAAGACCACTTACTCCAGCCTGCATACAGACAAAGACCCCACATTATACACTGCTCGCAAACATGATACGCTGCTAACATAATATTACAGTCCCGGTCTCATGATTAAGAAAATGATCATTTACTCAAATAGATTTCATCTGGTTAGTTTGTTTATAACCAAAACCTTAACCCACCAATAACACTGATCAATCCTGAGGCAGGCTGTGCTTATATTTACTTACAATTTCTGTCAAAAATTGAAGTTTCATTTTTCTGTTGAACACAAAAGAAGATATTTCAAGGAATGCTGTAAACCATAGTTTTCCATAGTTATTGTTTTTTTCCTACAATGAAAGTCAATAATTACCAGTTACCAACATTTTTTAACTTTTAAAGGAACACTGCATACTTTAAGATATTTAAAAAAGGTTATTTATTCATAACCTACGATAAATAAGTTCATTTACAATAATGATAAATAAGGTTCCAACATTCCTCAAAATATCTTCTTTTGTGTTCAACAGAAAAATGAAACTCGTAAAGCTTTTGAACAAACTGATGGTGATCCGTCTCCTCAAATTGATGAGCATAATAATTCATTCGGCATCAGACACACATGACAGAGATGCTCATTTACAGCCTTTCCGGAGTCATTATTCGCACAACAGGTTTCTAATTGTTTATAATGAAAAATACTATAGCAACTCAGAGTAAATACAATTTCAAACCCTACTGTAGTTTAGCGTATTTTCTGGTATTTATAATATGATTTACAACCCTTTGTTCATGAACAGTAGAGCAGTGTTTCACAACCCTGTTCCTGAAGGCACACCAACAATACACATTTTATACCTCTCCCTATTCAAACACACCTGAATCCACTCGTCAGAAGGTTAGAAGAGACTCGAAGCCTGAAATGAATGTGTCAGATAAGGGAGACATCCAAAATATGGACTGTTGGTGTACCTCCAGGAACAAGGTTGGGAAACACTGTGCATACTATTGTACTAAATCCTGCAGTATAATTTATATTCACTACTGTAACCTGTTGTGTATTGTAATAGTACGCTATTTAGAGAATATTTTGTACAGTATAAGGTTAACTTGTTTATATCAACATAGTTATATCTTTACCACAGTAAAAACAGAAATACCACAGCAGATCAATTAAAGTACTTTAAAATAATACAGTATGTTTTCAACATTTTTAAATAGCTTTTGAAGCAAACTTGCCATTGGTTTAGAGCAATGCTCTTAAATTCAATTCCTAGAAGGCCACAGCTCTGCACATTTTAGCTACAACCACCTCCAACTTACTCCTGCTTAATTGTCTCTAGTAGTCTTAAACACCTTGATTAGTTGGATTGGTTGTGTTTGATTAGGGTTGGAGCTAAACTGTGGCCCTCCAGAAATCCAGTTTGAGACCCATGGTTTAGCGGGAATGTAAATATGCCTACAGCATCGTTTTCTTGTTGACAGGCTTCTCTCTTTGGGAAAAGCTCCATCCATAGACTCAACAGTGTGAAGAGGTTGGCTTTGGATAGTCGAGGCCCCTGACCTGCAATAAAGCACAGGAATCATGTTATCAGATTCTGATAATCTAAATAAAAAAAAAAACAGCTGCTAAACTACAGAAGTCACATTTGCAGCGTTGTGTGAGAGAGATGTGGAATATAATAAAGAGTCAGTGAAAATCAGAAGATATACAAATAATCAGAAAACATTTTTTATTCAGTCCAATAATAATATTAATAATAATAATAATAATAATAATAGACCCTTTAGCAAGAACGCCAAATTTGCATAAATCAAATGGCATAAATAATATGATATCAGCCAATATTATTTCAAACAACTAATATTTTATCTGTACTATGTTTAAGTGTCTATAGGCAGAATGGTTTCATGTTTAATTTCCTTTATTTGACACAATGAGCACATTGTTACAACACTAGTACACCAAAATTAAAATCATATCGATTATAAATGCTTTATTATTATCCCTGTCATCATTATGACATTATATTTAAGCAATGACTGAAAATCTGAATTAAGAATAAGGTTTCATTAGTTCATGTTAGTTAATGTATTTCCTAACATGAACAATACAGTAACAATAAATTCATTCATTAATAGTTCTCACCATGTATTAATGGCAACAAGCACACTTTGCTTTTTAATAATGCATTAATAACTATGACTAAAAACTATGATTAAAATGCAGCACAAGTGTTGCTCATTTGTTAATTTGCGTACATTAAATAACATTAGCCTACCTAAAAAAAAACCTTATTGTAAAGTACTTTATTAGGTACACCTGTCCAACTGCTCGTCAATGCAAACTTCAAATCAGCCGATCACATGGCAGCAACTCAATGCATTTAGGTATGTAGACAAGGTCAAGACGAACTGCTGCAGTTCAAACAGAGCATCAGAATGGGGAAGAAAGGAGATTAAAGTGACTTTGAACGTGGCATGGTTGTTGGTGCCAGACAGGCTGGTCTGAGTATTTCAGAAACTGCTAATCTACTAGTATTTTTATGCACAATCATCTCTAGGGTTTACAGAGAATGGTCAGAAGAAGAGAAAATATCCAGTGAGCGGCAGTTCTGAGGGTGCAAATGCCTTGTTGATGCCAGAGGTCAGAGAAGAATGGCCAGACTGGTTCCAGCTGATAGAAAGGCAACAGTAACTCAAATAACCATTCGTTACAACCGAGGTATGCAGAAGAGCATCTCTGAATGCACAACATCCAACCTTGGGGCGGATGGGCTACAGCACCAGATGCCACTCCTGTCAGCTAAGAACAGAAAACTAAGGCTACAATCTATCTTCTGATGGCTACTTCCAGCAGGATAAGGCGCCACGTCATAAAGCATGAAACATCTCAAGACTGGTCTCAGGATCATTTCTCTGGTTTCTTATTTCATGAAAACGAGTTCACTGTACTCAAATGGCCACCGCAGTCACCAGATCTGAATCCAATTGAGCACGTTTGGGATGTGGTGAACTGGGAGATTCACATCATGGATGTGCAGCTGACAAATCTGCAGCAACTGTGATGCTATCATGTCTATATGCACCAAAATCTCAGGAATATTTTCAGTACCTTGTTGAATCTACCCAACGAAGGATTGGGGCAGTTCTAAGGGCAAAAGGGGGTCCAACCTGTTACTAGTAAGGTGTACCTAATAAAGTGGCCAGTGAGTGTACACACATAAATACAATATACATAAAATCAGTGCCTATTTTTATTAACCTTGCAAGTTTTTTTATTGTGTAAAAAGCAAAAAAATAATAATAATAATTATACGACGGTCTTTATAAGAAAACTGCTTGAACGGAATCAGACCCACACTTCGTGTTATAAGAGCATTTACAGTATCGAATTAGTCTTGAAATTAAGTTCAAATTAAATTTCCTGGTTGAAAACACAACTTGTTATTGGAGTTATATCCTCTGGGGTCCGGACACTATAAGAACACACACATACTGACAGGCTAACGTTAATCTAACCTTGTACTTTGGCATCGGTCTGTACTCCGGTTTCCCGGACATTGCGGGCGTCGTCGCCGTTCGGAATCGATCTGTTCCCGTCGGACTCCCGGTGAGACCTCCAGCTGTTTGATTCCGCCATTCAAACACGATCAACATTGACCTGTCATTGACTAAACAGACACAACAACAACAGCCAGTCCACCTTCATGCTGTCCTCTTCCTATTTGCGCTGACGTCACGAGTGGGCGGGGTCTTTCCGAAAGGATCTCCTGTTCTGATCTGGTTCCGATTCCTCAGAAATGTGATTGCCTTCCAGAATATTTAGAAAGACTCAAACACCACACCACGAGTTTATCACTTCAAAGACATGTATAGTGAGCTTAACTGCAGCTTTAATTTTCTGCAAGAAAAAACTATTTATAATTCAACCCAAAGACATGATACCATTTATTTACCCTTTGTTTTAAACCTTTTTTCAGCTCTGTTAAACATAAAAGATGTTGTGAAGAAAGCTGGAACTACTGACTTCCATAAGATTTGTATTCATACTGAAAGCCAAAGTTAATTGGCTTTTTTCAAAATATCTTATTTTGCGTTTAAATAATAATTAAAAAACAACTCATAAAATACAGGAACCACTTGAGAGAGAGTAAATCTTGAACTGAGCAAAACGGCGGTATTTTCCCCGCCATATTCACTAATTGGTCACAGGACAACCGAGAGCAATGACTCCATACTATTAAAAATATTTGTTTTCACTTTAAACACATGCTAACAAGTATGATTAAAACAGCTAAACACGTTCATTAGATAGGTGACTCTATGACATTTTGTCCACTTAATCAAATTATGCAATGAATATTAATCATTTTTCATATACACACACCATAATCAATGATTTAGAAATTCCAAAATGTTTCCTCATTTAACGAGACCAAAACCTTTGTATTACTTACTTTTAAGAACTGTAATTAGTAATTATGAGCTTTAATGATTAACAAAATAATTGTTAGAAACAAACTGGCTATGTAAGAACTCTTTTGGGAAATAATGGCTTTTAACAGTGTTTTTTTCAATGTGTCACAGAACTTTAAAAATGAGACGTGAAGGGAGTGTATGATGTCCAGTGCTACAGTCCAAAGTAACTTTTGAAAGTAATGCATTACAATATTCAGTTACACCCAAAAAAAGTAACTTGTTGAGTTGCTTAGTTAGTTTTTTATTGAAAATATTGCATTATGTTACTTTTGAGTTAGTTTTGCATTACTTTTTCTTACCTGGATGAGGCTTGATCTCTTTTAGAACTTGCAGGGTTTTTATTTTTTCTTTGTTTTTAATAGAGAAAACTCTGCAATTAACAACACTGTACAACCGTCATTTACCTATAAAAAATTAAATAAAAATAAAAACAGATCTCGGAGAACTTCCTGGGCTGAGGACTGTACATGCTGTATGATTAATGCAATGTTAAAGCGAAGGTGTTTGCTACCTTTGTAGTTTTTGTCTTATTATAGTGAAGTAAAATCACTGTTCATCGAGACAGTCCTCTTTTCCTTTTCTTTGATGCGTTTAAAATGAAGAGAATACTTCCATAGCAAAAATGTAAAGCTCTGATTCTTCCATCCATTCCATATCTATATACATCTATATCTATATATCTATATATCTATATCTATATATATCTATATCTATATATATATATATATAGGCGTTTCATCACTGCCTACATATGTATAATGAATTTTAAAGTCATTTACCCATTTTCCTGCCCTAAACCCCAAAAATCGAGCCAAAATATTCTTTTTTCAGTTTTTATGAACAAAAGAAGAACCAAAAAACAGCTATTTTTTTAATTTTCAGTTTTTTGTTTGAAAATGGACGGCAGAGATGCCCTGATGGCTCTACCATTCTTGGTTTCTGTCTGTTCGTATTGACTGTGATTCAACGTGACTATGCTAATTTTAATTCGTAAATTTAGTTTTAAAAAGCTAATTAAAATAAAAAGTTACTTGAATGACACTTTTTAAAAAGTAACTGAAATATTGTTCAAGTATTTCAAGCAATGTGCGTGACTTGTAAAGCCTTACCCCAACACTGATGATGACTATAGTCAGGACTCTTAAAACAGTCTCTCATCCATTCCGAAACATGAAATCAGTGCTTATGGTAAATAAAAATAAATAAATATCACTATACCGCTATACTCACTAATTGGTCTCAAGACAACCCAGAGCAATGACTCTATACTATTAAAAATACTTGTTTTCTCTTTAAACACATGCTAACGACCAGTGCGAGTTACAGTTGGGTTTGGGGGGATCTGACCCGCATAATTAACGCTTGATCCCCTCTGAAGGACATCAAAACAAGATGTATGAAGGACTCTGCCCTTTAATAGTCAAGAAATAGCGATATAATAAATCAACGTCACTATTCAGATAGTACACCAAATAAATACATAAGTTGGTAAATTGGCATACACTTTTTACAACTAAATAAATAAAAGCACCCTGCGTAACTTTTAAGAAAAGCTTTATTTATTTTTAATGGATCAAATTCATAACTTACAAGAGAAACTGCGGCACACGTGATGTGCACAGGTTAAATTTACAAAACTAATGCAAAAACTGTACAGTATGTACATGTGAAAAACACAAACACAGCCATTTGTAACAAATAAATCTCTCCACAGGCATCAGCATTGTGAAATCCAAGTGCTTCACACCAAAATAAAAGGTGCAAAGATTGATAGAAACCCTGTAGTGATCCGACCACTAGTGCAACTATCAGTAATACTTAATCAAACTTAAACATCGGACTAAAATGTAACGGTCAATACTGCAGATGCTGCTTCGCACAGCTTCTAAACGGCCAAAGCATTAACAACTAATATAGCTTTCTTTATCTGAAGAGCAAAAGTTAAGCCTTCACATCAAGCAATAACAAAATAGAGCAGGTTTTGGTCAGTAACATTAAAAAAAACGAGCCCACATCAACGTCTGCTGACTGAGTCCACCTTAATGCACATTTACAGATCCCAGCCTATACCACACAATAAAAAGAGCAACTTGTAATGCACTGCATCACTGCAAGAAACCTAATTAGTGACCTGTTGAATATTACCTTATGAAGAAGGAAAAAACAACAACATAAAGAACAAATCTGTCCCCCTGTCTGCTTTTTAGTGGTACGTTTATGCATCACAGCTGAACTATGCCTTTATTTGGCCCAAAAACTCACACTATTCCTCCATCTGCAGCACTAGAAATGTACTCTAGGCATATAACACACAACAGAAATCTCCTCTGTCTGTAATGTAGTACAAAATGGTTGTACGTGAGATTAACAGAGGTCTAAACCCTTCTTCAAGCATCTGATCCATCACGGGAGTTCCTCTGACGCTCGACAGGGGGCAGTGTGCGCGATGACCGTCTGGTGTAGCAGCGCCCTTTATCTGCCTGGAGGAGCGACTGCAGCAACAGATGGATCCACATGTATGGTGTGTGTGTGTTTGTGTGTGTGCGTGCGTCTGCTGGATGTCAGAGTCAGTTTTTGAAGGCTCCACAGTGGCTGGCTCTGCAGATAAACTCCTTCAGCATGTTGCCGTCGATCTGCCAGAACGCAGCTGTCTGCGTGACCTCGGTCAAGTGGTTGACACAGAATTTAAAACAGAACTCCTCTAGATCCTTGGCATGAAAGAAAGCATGAACGCGTAATTGTGAGTGACTGAACAAGCATGCAAAATAAAACATCATTAGCTTGCAATAGTGGTTCAGTGCATTAGCTTTCAATAATACTTTTCTTGATCAAATGCATCAAGCAAATGAAACTAAATACTGGCAGAGGGAAGCTAATACTCTGGTAAAGCAGGCAATGGTTCTGGGTAAGCCAGGCCTCCAGTGTGGTTGAGTTTTACCTCGGCATCATATCTGATGGCAGCAGACAGCAGAGAGAAGGCGTTCTCCACCGTGATGCCTCTCTTGATGATGTGCTGGCACAACTTCTTCAGCCTGTTTTCACAGTATGAGGTTGCCAAGTCCAGAAGTCCTATGAGAGAGAGATCCAAACATGTTCAGCTTTTTTTTAAAAAGGTACAACAAATGTTCTGATCATCCTGAAATCTCCACTGTTTTATAACAAGCCTTGTGAATGCGAGGTTAGTTTACCGGCCACATTATAAGGTACTTACTAGTACTAGGTTGACCCCTCTTTGCCGTCAGAACTGCCTTAATTCTTCGTGGCATAGATTCAACAAGATACTAGAAATATTCCTCAGAGATTTTGGTCCATATTGACATAAAGGTATCACACAGTTGCTGCAGATTTGTCGGCTGCACATCCATGATGTGAATCTCCCGTTCCACCACATCCCAAAGGTGCCCTATTGGATTGCTCTATTTTTGAGTGTGTCCTAGCTTCTAGCTCAACTGGATCAGGTCTAATATGTAGTAGATGAGCATGCGCAACCAATTGTTGCTAGAAATGAGAATTTTTTATATTAATTGTTATATTACCCATTACATTGTGTGTTATTAATGTCTTTACCTACCCCAACCCTAAACCCAAACCTCAGAGTAATTAAGGTCTACATCTACCCTAACAGTAAACACAAGCAGAGGGCGCTCAACCTATGGTCTGTGTGAGTCCTAATGCCCCAGAAAAAGAGAAAGGGGATGATATACTGTCATTGGGTGCTGTCTTTTGGATGAGAAGTTAAACCGAGGTCCTGACTCACTGTGGTCATTAAAAATTAAAAAGTTAATTTATAAAAAAATAAAAAATAAAAAATCCCATGGCCCTCATAAAAGAATAGGGGTGTAACTCCGGTATCCAGGCCAAAGTTCCTCAATCATTCCTATCCATGAAATTGGCTCTATCACTGTCTCTCCTCTTCACCAATAGCTGGTGTGTGGTGAGCGCACTGGCACCATTGTCCTGTGGCTGCAGTCACATCATCCAAGTGGATGGTGCTGCACACTGGTGGTGGTGTGGAGAGAGACCCCCCCTCATGATTGTAAAGTGGTTTAGGTGTGTGGCCATACACAAAAAATGCGCTATATAATTACACATTACATTACATACATTAAATTACAACTGTCATAGTGACACAGGCGTTACAGTAGATTACGTATTATGTAGATATATATATATATATATTTTTAATGTTGCGTACTATATATTGGACCTGATCCATCATTGTGCTGGACTACATCAAGGGTATCTTGCAATTTTCTGCTCTGTAGATATTCTGTTCATGTAATGCTTAGGTCTAATTAGTAGGGATGTAACGGTATCAGAATTTCACGGTAAGGTAATACCTCGGTATAAATGTCATGGTACGGTATTTATTGAATCATTTACAGGAAAAAACAAAACTTATGAAAATACTCCAAAAAAAGTGCCAAAAGTGTCAATGACATACAAATTAGCCATTTATCTGTAAGCTTTGAAACAGGAACTTCAATTTTAATAACAAAAAAATATTAAACCATGTAAAAAAATAAAGTTTCAATTTAGTATTGTTGAAAACTCATCACATTCAACATTTAATCACTCACTTAGATAGAGATGGGTTTAAAGGAAAATTATCATATACATATAATCTGGTAAAAGCTGGTATCTCTGGGTATTTACAATGTCCCCTGCAACAGAAAAACCCCTCTCATTTGGGACTGAGGTTTCTGGGACAAGAGAGATATGACTTGGCCCAGGTTGACAGCAGTGGGTAACGTTGTGCATTGTCTTTCCCCCACTTGAGAGGACAAACCATGAGTGAGATAGAGATCTCATGTCTGCATCAATCTGAACAGTGTGCTGACAACACCGCTATTCAGTACGCGCGCGACAACACAGCTGATAAGAACTCGCGCGACAACACCGCTATTCAGTACGCGCGCGGCGACAACACCCGCTTTAGAGTTCCAGCTCTTTTCATCCCCGCTTCTAGCAGCACACTCCATTTCCGCATTACTGGATCTGTAGCGACAACAGACCGCAAGGGATGATGGTCAAGCATGGGCTGATGGGAATTGTAGTTTTCGCTACCTCCCGTTCGCTTCATTCGCCTGAGCAAATTTTCTCAGAAGACCTATAGTTTTACCGAGTCATGCGACTACGGTAATATCGAAAAAAATTAATATTGCGGTATGACGGTATTTACAATACCGTTACATCCCTACTAATTAGATATTAAATAATTATTACAAAGCATTTTTTGTTTTAGTTTTCAGCCAAGGGCATCTAGAATTTTCATATAAGTGGATCCCTAGTATAAACGAAATTCAAAAGATATATATTCAAATAAAACTATAGCGTAAATGGGAAGTGAGGTGACAAAAATAGAACAAAACGAGATCTGAGTCAAGAGCTGAACCCACCGATGGCGTCCTCAGGAGGAAGATCAACACTGTCAGTGTAGAGGAACTCCAGGAAAGAGCGGTACACCGGGTACGAGAACTGATCGATCTCAATCACCTCCTTCATATCTTCATTCCAGTGTGACTGAAACATTGATCTGAAGTGCTCACACCTGAATTTAAAATGGGAAAAAACAGGAGAAAGATTGGAAATGAACAGTAAAAAAGTGAGCTCCTTAATACTTATTATTTAACTTAAATATCAAAGTCATCACCTGATTTTGAGAACAGCTTTATGGACATGGATGTACTTCCCATCAATGCTGAACTTAAGGTCAGAGGTCTCTGGATTATCAAACTCCTTTTTAAGGGACTGGGCCACAGTCAAGAAATCATCATGCTCTGATAATAAAACGCAACAGTTATGTAACAACAGTGTCTGCATCAAAGATCAACGCATATCATTAAAGTTTAAATGCATTTGCATTCTATTTTGTAAAATGCACTTGTTTTTTTTCAGTTAAATTATCAGTTTGCATGTGTCTTAGGTATTGGGTGTGGCTAACATACTTAACCACGCCCCATCCAATTGTCAGTTTCAACAACAAACAGAAATGTTAAGGAGGAGGAGTCTGTTAGGTTGTAACAACTCTTCAAAGACCCTTTTGCCAAACTTTCTGAATGAAACGCCAACTTTACTATCTTGCAGTAAAAAAAACAACAAGCCACGTCCACTGAAGTCTCATTTAATATTCCGTTTTTCTAGGAACTGCGCAATACAAAGAAAAAAATTTGTATCGTACTTTCCGGTTCATGCAGACTTTAACATCAGAACAACGACAGCTCATCAACACCACTCACCCATGGACAGCATCCGCCACATTACAGATGGTGTGGCAAAGCAGGCAAATACGTCGTCCGTGCTGGCGAAGTGTGTGAGGTGTGGCAGCACAATGGCCTGACCGCGACACTGTCCCCACATATACACCTGACCGCTCTGGGTTTTCGCCGCAGAGGTGTGCGTGGAGTGACAGGCGGCGATCTCCACAATCCTGGCAGAGGAGTCGTCGTCAAAAAAGCAGGAAGAATGGAGGAGGCCAAGGTGGAGAACAGGGACACAAAAAGATAAGGACCAAAGGAAGCGGAGAGATTCATTGGTTAGATTTTTATTTCTGAGCATTACTTAATAATAAGTTCACCTGAACTGTTACGCATATTCGGCAAACTTCAAACAATCTAACATTAGCAGAGCTGACTTCGGTGACCTTCCAGGAGGGCGAAGAGACCTTCTCCTCACGCTCAACTCAAAACAGGATGACTTGCAGGAAACTCTTTCCAGACCAACAGGAAACCACCCTGGGATGCGACTATTCAGACCAACAATGGTACTGACAAAATGCACAAGTCAACATACCGTGATTTCCTCACTATTTACTCACACTCAAGTGGTTCTAAACATTTATCAATTTCTTTCTTCTGTTAAACACAAAGCAAGATATTCTGAAAAATGCTGCAAACCATTAATATCATTGGTAGGAACAAAAAAATACCATGAAAGTCAATGGCTGTTACTTTCCACCGATCTTCAAAATATCTTCCTTGTTGTTCAACAGAAATGTCAATGTTTGGAACAAGTAATTGATGAAAAAATGATGATTGAATTTTTGTTTTTCTGTGAACTCGCCCTTTAAGACTGTGTCATACCAAGCCAATGCTAAACAACAAGCAGTGACAAAAGTCAACCGTGTTGTTGCCTCATTCAAGCGACATTTCTGCACTTAAACACACCAAACAGACCCCTATTACATGCATTTTACTTAAGGAATTACTTCTATATATCAGTAGGCATCGATACACTTTATTTCTCATTCAAAAAGGAAACTGATAGTAGGTTTGTAGATATGCAAACTATCAGCACTTCAGGACACCCTCGAGCACTTTAAAAAAACAAACAATTAACACATTTGTGTGTGTTGAGCATCAGTTAAGACAATGTTAGCAGCTGTCAGCTTTAATTGTGGGAAAACTGGATAATTTTGAGCTTTCGTCAGCTAATTTCATCTTCCGGGTTTAAAATAATTTTTGGGGCGGGATCAAAATTGGTGACGCAGAGCAAATCTGCAAGTGGAGTGATGACGGGTTGGTTTCTCATTATTGTTCATAGACTGAGTTTTCTTATCCTATGAGAAGACCCTGCTTCTTAATTATTCATGAGAGAACTTGCTTAGACCTGCCAAGCTGTGAAACCCACTGACTGTGTGAGCCCGCTTCTACACAAAGCACAGGTCGTATGTGTGTGTTTTCATGATTCATGGAGTTTGTTGCACGTGTTTCAATGCGATGCTGCCATGGCCGATACAGCAAATCTGTTGGTTTGGAACAAACATTTTTGTCAGGAGAACTGTACGAGAATTGGAGAATGGCGGACTTTGTCTTTTATCAGTTGAGTTCGTTCTCATTAAGTCACATCACCTATATCCATTCTGCTGTGTTCGCCTGTGTATAAAATTCCTTCAGATTACCAGCAGGGTTAATGGTTGGAATAGACAGGGCAAGAGACCTGCGGCACTGCTATCCACTTCGTCTGCATTCAGACCCAGGGATTGAGGAGGAGAGAAGTCCTCCTCATTTATATTGTTTATATAAACACGATTATCTTTATGATGGTATAACAAATTGTGGTTATGTGTATATGAAATCATGAACAACAAATGTAGCAGGACATTAAATTACTGTTTATTTCTTTGCATTTTAACTTTGTAAACTATAAAATCATGGATCTCCTGCTCTGCCAGCCACGCCCACTCCTCCCACTGCTCGCAGCGCTCCATGCCCATCTCGAAACAATTTTTGAAAAAATTCTGAGGTAGACTTGAACTGAAAGAGGGGGGGTTTTCATCGCCCTTTAAACATACTCATCAATCCAGACAGCGAATGGCAGGAAAATATTTGTGTACTATTTATTTCCAAAATACCTTACCTTTCTTTCTCAGTCATGACCTGTACAGGGCTGAGCTGGTTACTCTTGTTGCCAGTGCCCAGCTGGCCATAAGTGTTTGCACCCCATGCATACAGCAGGCCCTCATCGGTCAGTGCTAGCGAATGAGCATAACCTGATGCAATCTGCAAAAAAAGATAGTTTCCCACCATCTTATTGTGTATTACTGTTCAAAAGTGTGGGATTTGTGTGTATTTTTAGATTTTAAAGTCTCATCCAGCCTTTATTCTGAATAGACTGATGTGGTGTTAAAGGAAGATATCCTGCTATTATTTTGTGGACATTTTTCAGGATTTTTTAATAAGTACACTTTAGGTGGCATTTATTTGCAACCAAAATAGTTTGTAACATCATAAATTACCCAAAAGGTTTGAACAATATTGTATATAAGTATATTACACATGCAGCTAACAATCTGGGAACACAAAAGCTTTTTAGTATATACCTGCAGCACACAGAAGCCTTGTAGTGCAATCAAACGGCATGGCGTGAGCTGGTTCCCATTGTTGCCCAACCCCAGCTGGCCATTACCATTGTAACCCCAGCCGTAAACCTGAAACACACACACACAAACACATTTCACCACTAACCAACACACAACACAGATACAGCAAGAAGACACATGCAGACAGATAAGTCAATAGTCAAGATAATTTTTGAAGTATAAGGCTAAGTATTTCAACTAATGGCGAGCTCTAAGTTGGGTAAATTTTATCCCTTACCTCACCATTATCCGTCACAGCCATTGATGAGGTCTGTCCACAGGCTATATTAACAATCACTTTGTTCTGCAGACAGTTGGAGACTTTTCGTGGTGTAGGCTGGTTGGCAGTGGACCCTGAACCCACCTGACCACAGTTATTGTAGCCCCATGCGAACACCTAAAACAGCATACAATTAGCATCCATTAAGGTTTACAGATAATTAATGGATGCCCCTGTTATTCTATTTTAAATGTTCCTACATTTGTTTTGGAGGTTTCATACTACACACTATTCATCTCAGATTAAAAAGACTTTCATTTTCTCATAATATACCCACCTCCTATTCCCTTTAAGAGTCAGTTGCGTCGCGCCATGGCACATTTGCTATTTACATGGCGGACTTTGTAAGTGTAAAAACTGAACACTTCAATAGCGAGAAAACAGTTAAACAGACCATCTGCAGCGCGAGGATAAAGAACGAGCCTCCTCCATTCGGCCTCTTTACTTTCTCTTTTCTTCTTTATTTTCTTGGATAAGGAAACTGTGTTGTACGCACTCCACTGAAGACATCATTAGGCTACATCTTTTATTAAGTTTGTTAAGAGCAAAGATTTGTTTCAAAACTATTTCTAAATTCAGTTCTAGTTTTCAGCAAACTAATAAATAAACAATAATAAAGAAGTGTGGTCAAAAACTGTTATATCCAAACACGTCCTATTCTTACGCCCCATATCGTGATGCACATGTATCCAAAACCCGAAATAAACAATACTGCTAATAATAATGAAATTAAACAATTGCAAATTGTCATGAATAAACTGAAAAAGTTGGCGGTTCACCTCTGATCAATAAAGGGACTAAGCTTAAGGAAAATGAATGAATGAATGAATGAAATGCTCAATTTCATAATTCATTGCTTTAATTATACATCAGTATACAAAAGGTCAATATAACACTTTTAATGTCATTATAATGATGTAATGAAGTGATGATTATAATGCTTTTTACATTATATAATTACAACATGATTGCACTGAATTAATAGTTGTAATACTATACTTTATAACCAGGCGCTACAATCTATACCTATTATAACTCCAGTGAAACAATAGCATCACACAGGTGTGATCTTAAAAACTTAGCAGAACTTTTACCTTCACAAACATCTGTGATACAAGGCATTTATAAAAACACCTGATCATGAACATTGCATGAACATGACTAGCAACAGCTAGCGAGATGCAGTTGCACTATACATCTAAAGTATTTTTTGTAGCTAAATCTGAACTATCATGACAGAAAACACAACCTTCGAGACGATCTTGGTAGTCACAGTGAGAACAAAAGCCCTCACAGCTTAGTGAAAATGGTCACATGCTCCTCATTACAGTGAGCACCGTGAGGCTAAGTAGCTAACTATACTTGCAAAACAGATGGGGAGAGAGAAGGGTTTTGTCAAACCTAAATCCACCTAATAGCCTTTAATATGTAGCCTACATATTTAACCCACTGATGGAGTGTTACTAAAGAGATTGATAAAATGGAATTTGTTACATGCAAAAGAAACAGGAAGGATTTTGTTTGGATTATAGGATTAACAAGTGACAGGGAGCAAAGAAACTTAAAAACTTCCATATTTGGTTCATTCTTCTATAAATGGTTTGGGTGTCATAAGCTTAACCCTAATTAATGGACATGGTTGTGTTTCAACAGGGCAATATTTCATTGGGTAGTTTTTTTTAAATCAATCCGAATGAGACAAATCAGGCTTAAAATATTACTATGTGTGTGTAACAAAGCAGGTGAATCTGTCATCACTTAAGTGTGACGTTCCAGTAGATGTGATGCTTTAAAGCAGACAACTTAAAGACATGTTTCTTTTCAAAATGTATAACACCAAAATCACACATCGAGAAAGCCACTACTTACAATCTAAAGATATGTACAAGAAATCTACAGTTACTTTCAGATTACTATATTATATTCGAATCATTTTTCATACATTTTTAATTAAGTGATAACACACTAAATTGTAATTATGACATGCTGATTAAAGGGTACCTATTTTACCACTTTCCCAATGATTATTTGATGCATTTGTTGTGAAGTTAATTCAAGCCTTTCTGCAATGATGATTCACACACAATGTTGTTACAAAGTTCACATACATACACACAGCGCACGTTTAACTTTGCACTGTATTTGCAAGGCAAATGTGACAGGATACACATTAATATACACTACTGTATGGATAAACGTTATGGTAATGTACAAAATAAACCTGATTTAACGTCCTCAAAATCAGGATTAAAGCGTCCTTTAAAGGTGTACTGACACCTTTGATAAAGTAAAAATGGAAAAATTGCTGTTATTCATTACAAACATGCACTGTTTTAAAAATGTTTTAAACTTGTAAAACTCATTCTTGATCAAATTTGATGATGATTCATGATCACAGAGAGCTGAACAGATCTTTTAATCCCTGTTGCTTTGCGCACATCCTGTCTTGTTGATATGATTATACGTGTTACTCCGGAGACATTAATACGTGGCTTTCAAACATTTCGGTGGGTGGAGAAACCACACTCCTACGTCACATTGTGGTCAGCCTCAAAATGGGAGGGATTTGGATACAATTTTAACATAAGGAATTTAAAAACAAGACACTTACTGTGTTTATATCACTCAAATATGACTGTGGACACAATATACCTACACATAGTTCTGTCCAAATGATTTTCATGATTGGTGCCCTTTAAATATTGCCATACTAAATCAAAATTATGAGGTAAAAGATTCAAATAAAAAATACTATTTATCATTTCAAGCATGAATTCAAATAAAATTTAAAAAAATATGTCATAATTATGACTTCATCTTTTAATTGTGGTTTAGTATGACATTTGCTTGACTCTCTTTGATCTCTTGCTTGAAAATTTTAGGCAATTTTATCTCATTTTGGTTACTTGGGGCCAGATTTACTAACAGTCAGTGCAGACTTTCTGTCTTCTTTTGGCTTTTTGAGTTAACTCAAAGGCATAGTTCACCCAGTAAATTCTGTCATCATCTTTCACCTTTTCTAAACTTGTCTGAGTTTGCGTTATCTGTAAAAGATAGATACTTTACTATATTTGGTCTGTCTGTCTGTCTGTCTGTCTCTTTATTAATAAAACTGTGACAAATGCTCTGTTAAGAGGCATAGGCATATACATGCCAAAAAGTTTCCCTTTCAAATGAAAAACTTTAAAAAATAAAAGCTATTATTTACATTAATCGTGTGACATTGTTTACAAGGGTTTGCAGGATTTATTTTACATGTGTTTGCACCACTACTTAACAGCCCTGAAAAGCATGTCTTAACCCATTTTTGCTCCTGTAATTAGTAGATTAGAACTAATTACCATCGGCTGCTTTTATTAGCGCCCTAATATTCACTGGTCTTGATGCATTGTACCAGTCATTATAGATATGATTTGCTGCGTCTGTGTTCTTTAATTTGTGCATTGTCAGTAGATCACTTGCAGAACTTTCCACCCTATCAGCACTTTTATATTCATTTGTCTTACTTAGTAAACCTGGATTTTTTTCCCCCTTTTTCTTACACTCAAAAAAAAAAAAAAAAAAAAAAAAATTATATATATATCGTTAGGTTCGTTAGGTTCATTTAACTTAAATTTGTTACGGTAACTGATTTGTGTTGGGACATTTTTTTAAGTTAATCAATTTGTGTTGGGACATTTTCTACAGTGTATGTAAAAACATTGAGTCTCCATTCTCTTACAAAGCATCAGTTTTAATGTTAAAAAGCATTCCCTCACCTCACCCTCATGGGTCAGAGCCAAAGAGTGGTGTGAACCACAAGACACCTCAGTCACCCTCTTGCCCTGCAGATTTGTAGACACCAAAATAGGAGATACACCTTGATTGGTCGTCCCATTGCCCAACTGACTGTATCCATTATGCCCCCATGCATACAACTCCCCGTCTGTTAAAAAAAACAAAAATCATATACAATTCATTTATAAAAATCATTTAAAAATATATATAAATATAAAAGCTTGTAGTTTGTCTCTTCCACCTAAATGCATCAATGTTTTTTTTTCACGCCACCTCATACTTCAGTTTCTCTTAAAATCTTGACCAATCAAATGCAAATCTAACATGACCAATAGAACAATCATGCAACCATGTTTCCTTCCTTGACAACTTTATTTGGTTACAGGTAAACAGATTCACAATAATCACTACAAGGCTCCCACTCTAAATCAACATTTCCCTGACTAAAAAGCTCAATTTCAATGACTTATGCAGAGTTCAGACTGCACGATTTTCAAAGTAGTAGAGTCACAGATGTTTTCACACTGCATGACCATGTGGGTTAGTTTTCTGTCAGTGCTGTGTTTACATTGCAAGATGGATCGGTGACAGGGGGGTTTCACACTGCATGACATTACAATAGGAGAATCGGCAACAACTTTGTCTCGTTTCATAACCAAATGACACGAAAACAACGCAGTTACGTAGGAGACTGTAGGGGTCTGCATGTGTTCATATATGCTGCATTTATTTATTTAATTTATATAATTGCAGAGGTTACAGTAGGCTATATTGCACTGTAATTGATCTGCAGTTATAATGAAATCATTTCTAACGTTTCTATGAACATCAACATTTATACACAAGTATTTTTGTGTATAAAGCATCTGCTTTGTGATTGGTACCCTTTTGGCAGTGAAAACGCAAGCCTGATAAAGATGACCCGTACCATAACAATCTGGACCATTATATTCCAAGAAATGGAAAAAAAAATTATAATAATAAAAAATAAAAAAATAAAAAAGTAATAATTTCCGAACTTTAAATGTCTAGAAAATATTTTTTTTTAATTCCATGAAAGCTCCATGACCCATGGAAACACTCTCTCTAAAAACTAGAGACGAGTCAACAAGGATTTACACTTCTACTCACCTTCAGTGACCAGCAAAACATGAGGTCCGCTGCCATAGCTCAAACTGATCAGCTTCTTCCCACTCAGGCAGTCCAGCTTTTTTGGAGCGATGGTGCTCTGACTGTCTCCAGTGCCCAGACAGTTACTGCAGTTCAAACCCAACACGTACACCTGTCCCAGGACACCCAGATCAGTTTTCATATGGACAAACTGAAGCGCATAGTGACCCTTTATTTCGTTACCAGTATATAAACTACTGAAACAGTACACTGAAGACCCACACAGACAAAGAAGACACTATCAGTTTCGCAGTCAGCTTACTTCATCATCGTGGGTGATGTAGATGGCCTCATTCGCAGACGCGCCAAAGATGCATGCCTGTCGAATAGAGGAGAGCTCCTGTGCACTCAAGAGGGTGAAGAGAGGCCACTTACTCACATCCACCATGGCAGATCCCTGAATTGTGAAACTGGACATATAGGTTAAATATCACAGGTTTACAGGAATTCACATTACTTGTCAAAAGACTGAGGTGAGGTTGGTATTTATTTTTACACATTTTTATTATTAATATAGTTTCAGGCAAGTATTCTTTGCAAATTCTTAATGGGAAAATCATATTAGCAGCCAATGACGATCAAAGTACGACATTATATTCATGAGCAATATCACACATAAGTAGCAGTGCGATATGGCTGTATATCGGCACTGGTAGGAGGTGTGTGTTGGCGTGCCTTAGTGTCACACCAGTGCCTATATACAGTGTATATTCATAGCGCTTCAGTTTTTCCACCTTTTTTATGTTACTGCCTTATTATAAAATGGATTAAATTGATTTATTTCCTCAAAATTCTACACACAATACCCCAAATTATAATGTGCAAAAGATTTTTTGAAATTGTTGCAAATTTATAAAAAAAAAAAAAAAAAAAAAAAAAAAAAAAAAAAAAAAAAATCACATGTACATTAGTATTGACAGCCTTTGTCGTGAAGCTCTAAATTGAGCTCAGGTACATTCTGTTTTCACTGATCATTCTTGAGATGTTTCAGCAGCTTAATTGGAGTTCACCTGTGGTAAATTCAGTTGATTGGACATGATTTGAAAAGGCATACACCTGTCTATATAAGTCCCAGGGTTGACAGTGCATGTCAAAGCACAAACCAAGCATGAAGACAAAGGAATCGTCTGTAGACCTCCGAGACAGGATTGTCTCGAGGCACAAGGCTGGGGAAGGTTATAGAAAAATTTCTGCTCTGAAAGTTCCAATGAGCACAATGGCCTCCATCATCCGTAAGTGGAAGATATTTGTGACCATCAAATCAGCATTTTACTAATATTTTAGAAGGATCTTCTCTAACAGTTTCACAACAGGCCGTTTTGTTGTTCAGCTACAATTACACATTTATCATTGAGGTGAAGTTAGTTTTATATTCACACATTCTGACTTTCTCCTTAATAATATCCTTTCAGAAAGGTATTATTTACAAATTCTAAATAGGGAAATCACATTAGCAGCCAACGACTATCAAAGTACAATGTTCAGTCAATCAAATAGTGCCGATGCTGTTTTAAAGTCATACTTGTGATTTCAAACCTAATATTCAAAGTAAGTTACCGTGGTAAACACTAGGGAGTTTGTCATCAGTTTTCACTGAACGAATGTGCGAATATAAAACCGACTTTACCTCAATACATCTTCCACAGGTACTTTTTATTTTGCTTGACATCCTTCCAGGCTCAACTTGAGGTTAATTATCTTAAAAGGATGACAGAACAGATGCCCACTGCAGCAGTCCAGTTCAACAACTCCACATTGAGAGCAAGCAATTTAGGGAAGTGCATGCAGACAGTGTTTTGAGTGTGAAACAGCACAAAACCGATGGGTGATAACTTAAGAGTATTTGAGTGTTGTTAAAACCCTTCGACAGCTGCTAAAACATCTATTTACTATACATATGTGTCGCTTTAAAAGCGGCCAGTTCACATTAAACCAAAACAAAAAACATTGTCTGCTAACGTTAACGTGTAAAGTGCATGTGAAATAAATCGCAGGACTAGTTTAAACGTTGGCTATCTTCTTGCAGGCTCGCGTTACTGTACACAAGCAAAAAGCTCAGCTAGCCTGACAGCTACTGCACTGTCCTGTCAAAAGATGGGATGAACTCAGACTACAGAAAAGCTATTTTCACAGAGACAACATCACAGCACCTACCTAGTGAACACAGAGACTTCGACAGCATGTATTTAGCGACTTAACCAGGTCCTGTAGCTGTGCTCTCAGTTGCCCACGGAAACGAGTTCACGTAAGCGAGGAAACGAACTCACTTGTTTCCTGATTACTGTTGCTACGGCTTTATGAACGGCTGCTCGACTGACCAATCACAGACGCAGTGGAAGTCACTCCTACTGCATGGATTGGGTAGATAAACAGTAAGAGGGCGGTACTTTACGGAATAAAACTGACCAAAAAGAATTGCCTAACGTTAGTGGGACAACCCATACCGAGTTTGTAAGATGAAAAAAACACTATTATATTATATTATATTATATTATATTATATTATATTATATTATATTATATTATATTATATTATATTATATTATATTATATTATATTATATTATATTATATTATATTATATTATATGGAAACATCCATAAAATATAAATATAATGTTTTATATATTTTTATATATATATATATATATATATATATATATATATATATATATATATATATATATATATATATATAGACACACACACACAACAGTTCTGTCTGTTTCTCGAATTTGATTGGCTGATAGCCGTGATATATTTAAGTAATATCAGCACCTTACAGCCTCTTTACCCTTTGTGTATTACTCCGCCCACATACAGCCAGCAAAAAGCAGACACTAAAGATCGATTAAAAGATGCTTGCTCAGCTGTTTAACTGTCAGCTTAGGATTCGAATCCAACGTGGAAGAAAGTAGTTCCTCATAAAAAAGGGTTTTATGACTCTCCATGTTTGATTTTGTTTCTATATACACAATTATGCCGTCAAACTGTTGTATAAAGGCAATATCACACGAGTAGCAATATATCGGCACTGGTGGGGGCACTAAGGCACAACGCACGCCTCCCACCAGTGCCGATATACAGCCATATCGCATACTTGTGTGATATTGCTCATATATATATATATATATATATATATATATATATATATATATATATATATATATATATATATATATATATATATATATATATATATAAAGACACTGATGATGACACAAATAACGTGCTCTAGCTAAATTATTCTCCTCAGCTTACATGGCTGAACCAATGTCAAAAACTATAAATAAATCACTGATGGATCTACAAGGGGATTTATCTCTGTCAAAGAAAGATGGGAGAAAGAACATCTCAAATGAGGATTGGCTAAACATGTAAATTACTTCTGGCTACTTCCTGTTCTTCATTTTAGAGAGAATTTTGCTCAAGAAATATCATTAGTTTCAGAAAATATCTGAAATACTCCAATTGATTTCAGCTTTGAGGTACTTTATTTCGGTGTGCTGTCAATGGGTTTCTTAAAAAGAAAAACAAATATATTTGTCATACCTTGCTTCAAATAAAAAGCCATTACTAGATGCTGATTTAAACCTAATCCACCACAAATGCAAGATTTGATTGATGTTTTGAAAAAAATATATTCCTTATGGAGAAAATTACATACAGTGTGAACTAAAAACTTACATTTGTCAACTTGTGGTTAATATGGATTGAGTACATTTCTCCCATTCAACCGAATGTCTTTTTTTCTATGGAACTTAAAAATGTATCTTTACTGTTAGTGTTGTTTTCATCACCTTCCCCTTTTCCTTTCTTCTGTATATAGATTTGATAAGGATGATGTAAAATAAGGCAAAGGAATATGTTGTTCTGTCGCTGTCTTGAAGAAATGTGTGTTATGATTGGGGAATTTAAAATGGAAAATCTGTGAAAGTGGCATATGTCTACTGATGCTGTGAATTGTATCTCATTCATTCATTTTCTTGTCGGCTTAGTCCCTTTAATAATCCGGGGCCGCCACAGCGGAATGAACCGCCAACTTATCCAGCAAGTTTTTACGCAGCAGATGCCCTTCCAGCCGCAACCCATCTCTGGGAAACATCCACACACACAATCAAACACTACGGACAATTTAGCCTACCCAATTCACCTGTACCGCATGTCTTTGGTCTGTGGGGGAAACCGGAGCACCAGGAGGAAACCCACGCGAAGGCAGGGAGAACATGCAAACTCCACACAGAAGTGCCAACTGAGCCGAGGTTCGAACCAACAACCCAGGGACCTTCTTGCTGTGAGGCGACAGCACTACCTACTGTGCCACTGCCTTGCCGAATTGTATCTCTCTGCAATAAATACTAATAAAAAAATGTGTGTGTGTGTGTGTAAATATACGGTTGAAGTCAGAATTATTAGCCCCCCTGAATAATTAGCCCCATTTTTTAATTTTTTTTTATTCTTTTATTCTGAAAAATGCTTTCATTTTAGCCAAAATAAAACAAATAAAACTTTCTCCAGAAGAAAAAATCTTATCAGACATACTGTGAAAATTTCCTTGCCCTGTTAATTATCATTTGGGAAATATTTAAAAAAGAAAAGAAAATTTAAAGGGGGGCTAATAATTCTGACTACAACTGTAAATAATTTTCTATAAATGTCACTGACACTGGCTTTAAATACACACACACAATCGTTTAAATTCAATCTCCGGGATCAGGTTGTTGGCACGCACGAAAAGTTGACAAACCTGTTTAAAAATGCGGACCAGCACGTTCTGCTGTATCACAAGGGCAGTCCTGACTACTTTAGTCACACACAGCCATTCACAACATCGTGTCGCTTCTCCTTTTTCACAGGATTTCCTTCAAAAACAGAAGCTGAAACCTTAAGACTCCGATGCCCTGCAGAGGAATCAACCCTTCGTAAGCTCATCCAGGATCCAAAATGGGCGCCATCAAGTCCAAACGGTTTAAAAAGCCTCCTCAGGTGCTCATCATGGGCTTGGATTCAGCAGGAAAATCTACTTTAATGTACAGGCAGCTGCACGGGGTCATCATGCAGACCTCGCCCACCGTGGGCTTCAATGTGGCGACCCTCCAGCTGAACAAGAAGACCTCCCTGACCGTGTGGGACATTGGAGGGCAGGACACCATGAGGCCCAACTGGAAGTACTACCTGGAGGGATGCAAAGTGCTAGTGTTCGTGGTGGACAGCAGTGATTACGCCAGGATCGGAGAAGCTCAGAAAGCCCTCAAGAAGATCCTGCACGATGAGCATCTTAAAGGGGTTCCCCTGATGGTGCTGGCCAACAAAAAGGACCTGCCGAACACCATGACTATCAGAGAGGTGTCCACCAAGCTGGATTTGGACACTTACACGGATCGCCAATGGGAGATTCAAGCCTGCAGCGCTGTGAAGGGTCTGGGTCTCCAACAAGCCTTTCTGTCTATAGCTAAACTACTGCAGAAAGCATGAGGACTGGGAAATGTGACGCAGTTTAAACTTATTATAGTATATGTTAATGACACTTTATTCGTGTTATTATACAGGTAACACTTTAAAATAAGGCTGTTTTAGTTAATGTTACTTGGCAAACAATGAACAATATATTTATTATGTTTGTTTGTTAAAGAAAATAAAGAGATTTACTGTTCGTGTTAACTCGCAGTGCATTAACTATTGTCAACAAGCATGAACTTGGAATTTAAAGGACACCTAATTTTACCCTTTATAAGACGTAAGGTAAGCCTTTGGTGTCTCTAGAATGTGTCTATAAAGTTTCTGCTGAAAATACCCATCACAATATTTATTATAGCCTCCAGAATCTGCCCATTTTGGTGTCTGAATACAGTGTAGCTGTTTTTGTAGCCTGTGGCTTTAAATGCAAATGAGCTGCTTCTCCCCGCCCATCGTTTCCATGTGCGCATCTGCTTCTTTCGCCCCATGCACTCTGGACTTCAGCGTCAACGAGTGTCTGAAGTTGGGGCTGACGTGATCAGGCCCGGCCCTAACCAATTTGGCACCCTAGGCAAAATTTCAGGTGGCACCCCGTCACATCGCAGTAAATTCCAATGCTAGTGTATAGTCATAAATAGCTTTTTGATCGACAACTACAAGCAGGGAAAACGTCAGATAAATATGCCAATGCAATTAATGTTATTGCTGAATAGATTTAATATTTACACATTTGCATGAGGATGTAATGATGGGGGTATACATTATATTGAATAATAGGAACCATTTTTTATTATTTTTTGTCTCTTTTCTTTTAATCAAACAATTATTTGTATTGGTCATGTAAGTGTCATATATTAACTGAATTTCTAATGTTGTGGGTGAGTGCTGTGCATACTAATTAGCATTTTTGCAGAAGTAGATAGATGCGGGTCCAAAATTAAATTCAGCTCTGCAGAAACTTCCTGTCTGAAGAGAGGTGTTAAAACTGAACACAGAACACAGAAAAATGTATACTTTGTTGTTGGGCAGAGAATTCATAGAAAAAGAGGAAGTATGCCGAAGGGGCAGCCAATGGAGGACTGAACAATGACTGACAAGTGACGTTACACCAAAACTCCACCTGTTAAGATCGGTGGTGTATATATGCTGAAGTCAGGAAATATATGTTAGTTGCGAACCTCTTGAATGTAATTCTTGTATTGCATTGGGGTAATGTAACCCAGAGCTCTGTCATCGAATTATTCATTTGTATCCAATAAATTGTTACGATTTTTGACATTGAAGAAAAACCTCTCCAGACCTTTTCTCTTGAACACGCATGGAATAGAGATAGATATTCCAACAATTACTATTACTATTTTCTATAACATCTATGCCCCTCCATAACATTGGCGGACGTTAAAACTAACAGATAGCACTATAGCTATTTATTGATTAGCAATCTGTCAACGTTGCGATGTAAAAAATATGGGACAACAAATAGCTTCAAATGATAGAATACATAGCAAACATTAGAAAATATTGACAATAAAATAAAAGGTTTAGCCTATTAAAATCAATGGCCTACACTGAAATTAAATAAAGATATAAAATCCATTTCACTTTTAATTGTATTTGCATATTGATTAAAGTTCCTATAGTTATTTAATGAAGAGCAGCACATGAATCTCTCATTGTGTTTGTTTGATAACAGAGGTGTTAATGTAAGAATGCACAGATCTATAATGAAACATCTGACTAATTTAGTAAGTGTTTGTGCTCATTTAAGAGAAAATTAGCTGTGTTTAAAATAAAGCGGCGAGAAAAACGGGAAAAAACAGGACGGAGCAAAAAATAAAATTAAATTAAAAAACTTTACTGACAATCCCTTACTTAGAGCTCCTCTCAGCGCGAGCTCTCCCGGCTAAATGCATATTGCGAGGGCAGTGTTGGTCGTAATGTCGAGCGAAAAAAAAAGAAAAAAGACAAAGACAGCTGTGAAACATAACCAGCTTTGTCTTTTTGTAGGAAACACACTTTAGATGTTTTTTAGGGTAAGAGGTTTTTGAGTTATTGCCGTTTATCACTGAATGTGTCAGGAATATCAAAAGCAAAACCAACTTAACCGCGCTCATTTCTGGCACCCCCCTGGATGTACAGCGCCCTTAGCATTTGCCTATACTGCCTATGCCACGGGCAGACCCTGGACGTGATTGTCATAGCAGCAATAGCCAATGAAACTAGTCAGCAATAGGCCTCTGTCTGACGCTTCTGTCGCCGTTGAGAAAGTCCCAACTTCTGCAGCGAGCAACGCCACTGAAGCGGCGTCGGCGGATCCACAATGCTGTTCAGCAATGCCTGACATCATCCAATCAAAGTGAATGAGAAGCGTTGAAGCTGACGCCCCGTGTGAATCATGCGTTCTGTCAGATAAACAGCACAGAAACAGACAGATTCGATGAAGCTGAAATACAGCTCATAAGTCAAAAAAAAACAAGTAAGTTTATTTCATGTATTTGTGGTGGAGTTTATTCAAGCCTTTCTGAAATGATGAGTCTCATGCTGCTCTTACACCTAACGCTGAATAAGCTTCAAGTGCTAGTGATTTACATGTTAAGTCAATGCAGAGACACGAAAAGACATCCTGTGACGCGATTCATGTGAATGAAGCTGCGCGAGTTGAGCGTTTTGCACGAATAACATGCTTAACACCCAAATCGATTGAGTAGGAAAATCTGAACTTCAGCAGACATTCATGCTGCATAAACCAATCTGGAGCTTTCTCTTGTAGGGGAGTGATTATTACTTAGCCCCTGTTGTTGGTGTCCCAGAGGAAAATCCTCCAGCCTACACCGGACAACAGTTCATCAAACTGGCCTTGGCTCAGTCGGAAGCACGGCTGAAAGCTTCCATCATCCAGGTATAGTTTCTGGAGGAGTTTATGAGCTCACAGAGCTAGATGCACCTCTGAATGAATCTCAATGGCTGTTTTTGTCCCCAGCATTCTTCAAAACATCTTGTTTTTTTGTTCAATAGAAAAATGAAGATCAGAAACATTTAGAACCACTTGAGATTGAGTAAATGAGGAGGGAGTTTCCATTCTTGGGTGAACTGACCCTTTATTTCCATTATGCCAATACTGTAATACACATATTTTGATACTAGAGAGTGCATTTCATAAAAATGATATGCTTTTAAATGCACTTTACATAATTGTTAACAGTTAACTGTACTAGTTAAGATGAACTAGGAATGAGTCTGTATGTTATTTTTTCCCAGGATTGTATTGCAGCTGTATCCACTGTGTAAAACATATGCTGGAATAGTTGGCAGTTCATAGCACTGTGGCGACCTTTGATAAATAATGCATTAAGCCGGAGGAAAATGAATGAATGTTAGTTTTCAACATTGACTTTATTTTATTAAACTCAATACTTTTATCTTTTGATAGTAAATAATGGATGTGAGTTGAATTTTTAACACTAAAAAAACAAATCATTACTGTAACAAATGATGTGCAACTGATGTGCATCGCTAATTAATTCATGAAGTAATGCCAAATAGTGAGCTATTATTGTATAACCGAACACTTTTAAATAATCATCGTGTTTCATTTATTTATTTTGCTCCTAGTGCATAACTCTATAAATGTGCCTAATTATACCCAATCACAATGTTTACTAATTTTAGCTACTTAGTTTTTTTCATAAGCACTATAATTATTAGATTTAATATTTCCACATAAAGCTGCTGTACTGAAGATACACAGCCTTAAATTATGCAATAAATTAATTATTATGATTAAGAAATACCTTATTTCTTGATCAGACCTGCATGTATGACTATTATGATAAAAATACAGCAGCACAACCTGTTATGCTTTCATAAAGAAAAATACACATAAGCATGATTCATTAGTGTATTAAGAAGCGAAAGGGTGTGAGAAAACATGATCTGACATAACTATTTATTTTTTCTCTTGGAACAAATGTTGATCTCCATCATACTGGATACAGTAGTGAGTTTATGGCGGAAAAAAAAGTCCTAGATCAGACTCAAAAAAAGCTACTGTAACATAATATGGATTGAGTGTTTTAGGTGTGTCTTGTACAAGATTTTACAAGAAACAGTGTGTTGCTATGAGTCATTTGATGAGTTTGTCTTTGTGTTTTGAGCAGCTTGATTAAGCGAATACACCTAAACAACTGTTTTCTTTTTCTCTTTTCGAGTGCTTACTTCTATGATTTCTTTATACACCTAAACAATTTCATCATTCTGCTGACCTTGAAAGTTGACTATTTCAGAATTGTGGGTACATTTTAAACCTTTTCCATTCATTTTTCTTAAACTGGAATGATACAAGTTCAAAATTTTGCATATAGTGAAACCATTCATTCATTCATTCATTCTCTTTTGGCTCAGTCAGGGGTCGCCTCAGCAAAACAAACCGCCAACTATTCCAGCATATGTTTTACACAAATATTAATCACAATTACATCCGAAGCAAAAGTTAGTTTTCAATGATATATGTGTGTACTGTGCATATGTATTATGTGTATATACACATATACACACACCTGCATATATTTCAAAAAATGTTTATTAATATTTAGATATAAAATATATATGTATAAGACACAAATTATATATTGCGGGTTGGAGAGAAAGGATTTAGTTCAAAAATTGACGATAATAACAAAATTAAAGTAACAAGAGCTTAAAGTGCTTAAAGAAATGGTAAACTGAGACTGAGATAGACTCTATTTAATGATTATGCTTTGCACCATTTATTTATGTCAAATAAAGTGTTTTCTTCTAAGCAATAACAAGTGCTCAAAGTGCTAAAGAACTGAACTGCTAAACTGAAGATTAGAGGCAAAATCAAAGTCATCATCAATTTTTTTTTTCCTGGGTTGTAAGCAAAGTCCCGCAAACTCTTTCTATTTAAGACATTTGGACCAGAAGATGGAGCTGGTCCAGTGGAGGAGGCTGAGGGTCTGCTGTTTGTCCAATCATGTTTTTTTTTCCGCCAAATAAAAATATCAGGCTACCTCAAATTGATCTCTCCATGGAAAATATGCATTTAATGAATTCTCCGCTGTTATTATTATTGCACAAAACCTGTCAACATTTTTAATGAAAGTCATTAAAGTTTATGTCTTATGATTATGACTTCATTTACATTCTTCTTCTATGACGTCTCACTCACGGTTCATGTGAGTGCGCTACGAGTGATGAAAGAAAATGGCAATAAACCTCAAGGCTCATATGTTGACTTTTTGTATAAGAATTATGTTGTTTACATATGATATTGCATTAATTTGCATAAATGTTTTATAAGCTGTAAAATGAAAGCCTCAGTTTGGTGTATATGATGTGTGTATAGGTATAGAGTGTATCATTTGTGTTGCCTTTTGTTGTGTGGGTTCATCAAGTTTCAGTAGCTCAGTGGTTGCGTGACTCATCTCTCACACCGGAGACGTGGGTTCTATCCCAGGCCCTGACAGGAGTGTATTGTGTGTATATGTATGGAGTGTACATGTATAGGTTGTATCATGTGTGCATATGTATAGTGTGGGTGTGTGTGTGTGTATATAGAGTATTGAGTGTATGTATGGAGTATATCATGTGTTCATATGTATTTAGTGTATCGTGTGTATATGTTTGGAGTGTATGATGTGTGTATATGTATAATGTATGTATGGAGTGTATATGTATAAAGTGTATCATGCGTGCATATGTATGGAGTGTATATGTACAGTGTATCATGTGTGCATATGTATAGAGTGTATCGTGTATGTATAGAATGTATCGTGTGCATATGTATGGAGTGTATCCTGTGAGCTGCCTTTTGTTGTGTGGGTTTATTAAGTTCCAGTAGCTCAGGAATGTATCGTGTGTATATGTATAGAGTGTATCATACGTGCATGTGTATTGAGTGTATCATGTGTGCATATGTATGGAGTGTATCCTGCGAGTTGCCTTTCGTTGTGTGAGTTTATCAAGTTCCAGTGGCTCAGGAATGTATCGTGTGCATATGTATAGATTGTATCGTGTGTGTGTACGTATAGAATGTATCATGCGTGCATGTGTATAGAGTGTATCATGTGTGTATGTGTATAGAGTGTATCATGTGTGCATATGTATGGAGTGTATCCTGTGTGTTGCCTTTTTGTTGTGTGAGTTTATCAAGTTCCAGTAGCTCAGAAATGTATCATGTGTGCATATGTATAAAGTGTATCATGTTTGTATATGTATAGGGTGTTTATATGTATAGAATGTATCACATGTGCATATAAATGGAATGTATTGTGTGTGTGTGTGAGTATGCATGTATAGAATGTATCATGAGTGTACATGTATAGACTGTATCATGTGTGCATATGTATGGAGTGTATCATAAGTGTTCATGTATAGACTGTATCATGTGTGCATATGTATGGAGTGTATCATAAGTGTTCATGTAGAGACTATATCATGTGTGCATATGTATGGAGTGTATCATAAGTGTTCATGTATAGACTGTATCATGTGTGCATATGTATGGAGTGTATCATAAGTGTTCATGTATAGACTGTATCATGTGTGCATATGTATGGAGTGTATCATAAGTGTTCATGTATAGACTGTATCATGTGTGCATATGTATGGAGTGTATCATAAGTGTTCATGTATAGACTGTATCATGTGTGCATATGTATGGAGTGTATCATAAGTGTTCATGTATAGACTGTATCATGTGTGCATATGTATGGAGTGTATCGTGTGGGTTGTCTTTCAATGTGTGGGTTCATCAAGTTCCAGTAGCTCAGAGGTTACGTGATTCATCTCTCACACCGGAAACCAGGGTTCTATCCCAGACCCTAACAGGAATATATTGTGTGTATATGTATAGTGTATCATATGTGCATATGTATGGAGTGTATCGTGTGTGCTTTCAAGATTATCTTTGTATAGCTGATGTAACAGAGTTGACTTACAAATACAGCAAATAGACGTTTCATGCGAATGTTTATTTTACTTAGTAGAATAAACACACGTAAATAAGAAAATTAAGACTCATTTCATAATTATAGCATAATGTGTAATTCAAGACGGTAAAAAATAGGATTTTTAGTAAACATTTTCCCAGATAAAAAAGGTCCCTAAATGCGCACGCAAACATTTTTTACAGAAAACTTGATATAATGTGTTATTAAAGTTTTGGTTTTTGGAAATGCAAATTGGACCCGCAATTCTAGAGTCATCACTAATATGTAATAATTATAAAGATGATTACTAATTATTAGGCCTCCTCTGAATCATCTGTTCTTCTTCTCGGGATGCTGATGGAGTCTTTCTAGATCCTTCCATGACTGCCAGAGCAGGAGTGCAGGCACCAGCACCCAGATGCCATTGAAAAACACTAGGTAGACCCACAGGTACAGCCAGTTGCTAGTGTTTAGGTTTGGGCTTCCCATCAGCCAGTCTGGACAGAAGGTCATCCAGCCTCCATACAGCTCACAAACACAGAGTGTGATCTGAACAAAGTGCCTGATTCAGAAAGAAATAACATGTATACAGATGCTTAAAGGGCACCTATGGTGAAAAATCTACTTTTAAAGCTGTTTGGACAGACATGTGTGTAGGTATAGTGATTTGACAGTCATATTGGGGTGATATAAACACACCAAGTCCATATTTTTTCAAATTTAACAACATAAAAACAGTAGACAAATTGGAGCGGTTTTCAGACCGACCGCAACTTGACGTAGGAGTGCGTCAATCAATATTGATTGACAGGCGAGTGTTAACATGTATTTGTAGTAATGCATATAATCATATCAACAAGACAGGACGTGCACAAAGCAATCAGGAATAAAAGGTCTGTTCAGTTTGCTAGGATCATCAATCATGATCAAGAGTGAGTTTTACAGGTTTAAAATGTTTTAAAACAGTGCATGTGTGTAATGAATTACAGCGTTTCTCTTCATCAGCACAGCCGCATGGCAGAACAATTATAAAAGACTCAAAACTTTTGTCTTTAAAAATAACTTTGCAAGTCACAGGTCTTTCTTCAGGAGCACTTCAAATTCATATGAAATCTGTTATCGTGTTTACCTGTAGTGTTTGTCTTTAATGATGGCGTAGACCAGAAGTAGGGCCAATGAACCGTCTAAAACCACAGTCAGAAGCTCTAGAGAAACGATAGTCGGGTCTGAATATAGCCATCGCTCATCTGCCTTGCCATATTCTTTCCCTGTTAGGCATTTACATTGTGTTACGCATATACACACACGGTATGTACATTACATACAAACAATACAAAGCAGACATTAATTAATAATAGGCCATTTGCATTCAAATTGAACATTCATCACTTCTGGAAGTAAAGTGTTTTGATACTATTTTATGAAAATAGATGCAAAATGGGTTGTGCAAACCCCAAATCATTCCATCATCCGTTTATTTTTAAGATAATTTTGGCTACGTTAATGCAAGCAGCTTAATGTTTGGCATTATTTAATGTAATCGTTCACCATTGTCTCCTTTTATAAATCTTTTTTACAGTTATTATGAAAAATAGCTCTACTCAGGAACTTCAGGACATTTAAATGGTCTTATTATTCAAGCGAAAAGTCTGACACACAAAAATAACATTGCATCAAAACTAATGTTGTTTCAGATAACGTACTTATCCAAGCTGTTGCAATGCAAATATAGACTTTATTTCATTAAAAATAAAAACTGCCATCGCAATATGTGAATTAACTGTAATTTAAAGAGTTTGAACACTGGTTTGAGCCACATGCGGCTCTTCGACCAAAAATACATGGCTCTCCAGCTGTTTCAGTTCAATAATGTTTTACAGTTAAAAAAATTATAACCATCACTAGAAATCAGTTTCCTATTGAAAATGTAATTACAATTTTTACGTTTCGATTAATGCACGTGCGCGGTACTATGGATAAACTTTAATCGTGACACCAATAAAGGGTAAACATGTGTGCGTGGTTACCATATATGTTGTTTTGCCCGTGTTTTACCCAATAATAGTAAAATATTATTTTTGTTCTTCAAAACTAGTGAAAATCAATATAATAACAATAATATATTTTCTTTAACAGTAGCCAAAATTACTGCCGTATACTTTATTTTGAATACTCTCAGGAAACTATGTAATTTTTATAACAGTAAAATGTTTATTTTAAATTGTGTTGCTTTTCAGAAAAAAAAATATATTTTCCAGAATTTAAATAAATGTTCTTTCTTTATTCATGGGCTTGCTCAACATGTGATGGTTCATATTTGTTTATTTTTTGAGTTGTGCACGAACATAAATAAAGGTTTTGTTTAAACCCGTTTTATTTATAGTAGTCGTATTTTATTGGGGTGCATATATGCGTATATACAGTTAAAGTCAGAATTATTAGCCCCCCTTTGAATTTTTTTTCTTTTTTAATATTTCCCAAATGATGTTTAACAGAGCAAGGGAATTTTGACAGTATGTCTGATAATATTTTCCTCTGGAGAAAGTCTTATTTGTTTTATTTCGACAACAATAAAAGCAGCTTTTAATTTATTAAACACCATTTTAAGGACAAAATTATTAGCCCCTTTGAGCGAATTTTTTTCATTATTCTACAGAACAAACCATCGTTATACAATAACTTGCCTAATTAACCTAACCTGCCTAGTTAACATAATTTACCAAGTTAAGCCTTTAAATGTCACTTTAAGCTGTATAGAAGTGTCTTAAAAATATCTAGTCTAATATTATTTACTGTCATTATAACAAAGATAAAATAAATCAGTTATTAGAAATGAGTTATTAAAACTATTATGTTCAGAAATGTGCTGAAACAATCTTCCCTCCATTAAACAGAAATTGGGGAAAAAATAAACAGGGGCGCTAAAAATTGAAGGGGGCTAATAATTCTTACTTCAACTGTACACCCCTGTGGCTCTTTTTAAAAATGCATTTGCCAAAAATATTAGAAATGGCTCTATGCTGAAAAAAGGTTATTCACCCCTGGGTTAAAATTTCCAAAATGAATGAATTATTAGTGATTATCACCACCAGGGCTGATCCTGGTTTGGTAGTCTGTCAGTAAACTTAGACAAACATACTAATTATGGCGGGTTTCCCTTATTTATTTCACACATTTTTGTCCTCTACGGACCAATGTGCCACTTGTTTAGAGTGACACTCAAAGATAAATGCTTAACAACGTTAAAAAAAAACTAGCAATTACATTTTTATTACAAATAACAGAAACTGATCAGTGAATGAACGGACTTTGAACACTTCATTATACCAACAAACACCACTAGATGTCGCCCTCTACTAATTTCACATCAAGATTTTCTCCATGACCAAATAAATCAATAAAACTGTAGATGTAATTAATATTGTAGTGTTGTATCAGAATACTCACATAACTCTGCCAGCAGGTTGTCTGAGGACGCCACATTTCCAACAAGCGACATGTAGACGAATGGTCCTTCCTGCACAGTCAAGGTGAACAGGTAAGTGACAGTCAGATAAACAACATTTCTAGCATGCACTTGTGTACCTACCAGAGTAAAATGAACTATTGCGTCGTAAAATAACCACACGAGGACCCACCGGTCAACCGCTGAACATTTATGGCCCCATTTTTGAGCGAAGGCAAAGCCGACAGCAAACTGAGCCACACAGGCGAGCAGAGAATAAACAGTTACTTTAGTGAAGAGTGCAGGTTCATCATGCTGTTGGTCGAATTCTGCCATTCTGTCTAGTGAAAGCACTTTTTTAATAACAGTTCCCTCTCTAGCTGAATCTGAAGGGTTGAATAATGACGTCCACAGGCCCCGCCCATTGTGCTGCCATTGGTTCGCGATGGACTCTCTCCACTTCATTCCATCCACGTCAGAGAGCAGAGTGCGTTTTGGCGCCAATAGGCCATGTCATATTCAAACAAGTTCTCTTTACATTTTTCATTCGACATTTAATCACAAAAAATACAAGTAGGCATTAAAATTTACCTGCTAAACACGCATATTTCATTTAAAGCAAGTTCCAGCAAAATGTCTCACAAATTAATACTTTTCATCTCAAATTGTATTTTTCTTGAGACAGAAATCTGAGAAGGTTGAACTTTTTCCTCTTTCATCAGTGATCTCAAACTCAATTCCTGGAGAGCCGCAGCTCTGCACGGTTTAGCTCCAACTCACACCTGCTTAATAGCTACTAGACTTATTAGCCTTGATTAGTTGTATCAGTTGATTAGGGATGAAGCAAAACTGCGCAGAGCTACATGTATAGCTAAAATTTGTATTAAAATCTGTTTTATTTATGTTTTAGAATATATATTTATAATGTTTTTAAGCATAGTGTATATTTTGAAAAGGGGAAAAACAGTAAACCGTTGTATGAATGCTGTAATATTTAAATAATTTCCTATTAAAAACGCGTGAAGGTCATGTGACCATCAGGAAGAAGAACAGCATCTCAATTCTCTGAGGATTCTCAGTTCTCGTGGTCTCCTGAGTTCGTTCTTCCGAGGTGACCTGGCAAGACCGGTCTTCACAACAACAGTTCTCTGTGTTTTTAGGAATTGAGAAACAGTCCTTGATTAGTTGGATTAGCTCTGTTTGATTAGGGTTGGAGCAAAACTGTGCAGAGCTGTGGCCCTCCAGGAATCGAGTTTGAGACCTATGTTCTACTTATTAGTTTTGGTGGTGTTTGATCAGGGTTGGAGCTAAACTCTGCAGGAAGGTAGATCTTTAGGAACTCAAAATTGTGACCGCCTTGTACTTTAGATGATTTTCTTACATTTGAGGTGGGAAAATTGAATGAAAGACTATGTTTTTATATAATCATGAGATGTACAAACTTAAATTTCTGGGTCAGAACTGTGGGAAAACTAAACTGAAAAATCTGAATTTTGGTTTTCTCAGAATTCTTGCAATTCAGTCTTTTCCCCTCAGAACTGCAAGTTCAGACTTTAATTTCTGCAATTCTGAATTTGATCTCAGCTCTAAATTAGCTAGCATAAATATGTAAATTAGCATACAATAGCATAAATACATAATTATGAGTTTATAACTCATTAAGTGAATTTAAAATGGCAATTACCTTTTTCATTTTCTTTCAGCTTAATCCCTTATTTATTAGGGGGTCGCCACAGTGTGATGAACCACAAACTATTCCAGCATGTGTTTTACGCAGCAGATCACCTTCCAGCCACAACCCAGTACTGGAAAAAAATTCACACACACACACTCCCATACACTACGGCCAATTTTGCATTCCCAATTCACTTATAGTGCATGTCTAGACTGGGGGGAAATCTGAGCAACCACGCTAACACGGGGAAAACATGCAAACTCCACACAGAAATGCCAATTGGCCCATCCAGGACTCGAACCAGCAACCCTTCTTTACAAATTTTGTTAAACAGTTGATTCCAATGTTTAAAGTTTGTGTGAACCGGAAGTTACAAAGGCTTTTATATCAGTATGTTGATGTACTTCCAACCAAAACCGAATATTGACTAGGAGGCGGGGCTTTCTTTATGCACATCATTCCCTTGTAGCAAAATTCTAAAAGGGGGCGTGGTCAGGAATATTGTGGCCAAAGCTGTCAAACTGACATCTGAAAACAACCGCCACTCCAAACACCGAAGCAAATGTTCAGACTTTGATTGAAGATTAACAAACTTGTTTTTAGTGGATTAATTTCAATGGAGCATCTGGAGAATAACAATAGCTGTGCTTCCATGTGAAGATGCAAATTAAATTTATGCACAAAACTGGAATATCGCATAAAAGACGTGCCAATAAAGCAGCGTTTCCAACCAACGAGCCAAAGTGAACAAAATCATCACTTCCTGAATAACTGGCGCTAAATATCAAAGGTAAAAACTTAATTTACTGTGGTAGAAGAATCTGCGTGAATCTTTTCTTTATTTAAAAAACGACTTCAGAAGACAATGCAGACATGCAACGAACAAATGGTGGCGTTTGAAGGTGTGAGACGTGGAGCTCAGACCCTCTTAATTCTGGAGATCATTAATAATATAATAACACTAATACTGAAGCGGTTAAGGCGTTTTAGAATGACCAAAACAACATTTCAGGTGTTTTACAATGTGCTCAACCTGCTGCTGGTTTATCCATTCACACACATTTTCATCACATGATCTCTTATAACAAAATCACATGACCTTTTTTAATGTGCATACAGGAACAAAAAGTTTATCCTTATCAGTTATGCGCATACGTTTTCTTTATACGAATAAGCGTGGTTTTCATTTGACAAAAACCTCTCCTTCAGCTCACATGGAAATAACACAGAGCACATATTGCACATATTAGAAAGAGACAAAAAGGGACTTCTGAAAACAAAGAGTCAAATCAAAGCACAGACCAGGGAACAAGGAGGAAAGGCAATAGGTAGAAGAGAAAAGACACAAAAAGCATAAGAAGGTCAATCATAAAAGAGCAATAAAAGGATGGCTAACAGCACGTTTATTTTGGTTAGGTTCATTGATACATAAAGCACGTCCTGAGGGAGTGATGAGTGAAAGATGTGTTGCCATAGAAAGGTGGATGGGAGGAGGTGGGAGGGCGGGGCAGGGACAAGCTGAGAATAGTGAACAAGAATGAGAAGGGAGCAGAATGAAAGTTAGAGGATCAATTACAAGTCAGCCAGCAAACTAGAGGAGAATTGAAATAGAATTATAACTCTACTCCAGAGAACGTCTCATTGTAAAGTCCAGATATGACACCCAGAAGACCCCATATTATAAGCAGCTCCAATGCAACGTGGCAGGCATTATGAACCTCTTTTTTTAGTTGCTTCGAAATGAAAAACAAAGGCACAATGAATTTCAACTCATTCTTTATCTTTAATATGCACAAGAGTTGAAAAAAATACTGATGAGCCACCTTAAAGAGAAATTCAGTTCTAAAATTTATAAAAACATACAAACAATCAGAGGCCAAAATGCGATCTGTCGCCGTTTTTAGATTAATTTTTTTTTTCTTCAGCAAGTAAAAATCTTGCAACAAGCAATAAGCTTGTATCCATTTCCGATACAAGACGAAACGTCTTTAAAGTGGCTCGTTTTCTAGATGTCTAGATAAGTTCATGAATTTCAAACCTGCTTTATTTTGTTCAACAATAAATGGCGAATTCAAAAAAACAAAATCATCAGGGCTGCCTTTAGCTTCCTTGCTGTATTTGCCGCTCAAATACAATTACCTCAGTCCAAATGTAAATTTCTTTTTCTCATACATCCCTTTACAAGTTAATGCACAGGGGGAAAAAAGAACAACAAATAAAACGTCCAGTCACAACAGTAAGAAAGCCCATTTTCCAAATAATGGCAATCATTTGCCATTGCAAACGAAAGAAAATAATAATTACCCCTATTGGCTGTAAATCGATAATCATAACGTTGTTATTGTTTTGTAGCGTCCCAACGTCTAGTGGACCTAAGTGTGGTAGCTTCTCATTATATACCTAAACAAGAAATATACTTTTATTTTAGTTGGTAAGATTAGGTTTTGCAGCAAGTGAAATAGGATTTAAAAACCAACTAAACAAAAACGTCATGGATCACCTTTTCCCATTGCTTGTATAGTCAAAATTAAGCGAACATCGCTCTCCACTTACATTAAGCAATAAAACGGGAAAAAACCCAAAAAAGTGTATGCGTAAGACTGGAAAAACTGCAAAAGCGGAAGCTCCACTGATCAAAACAAAAAAAGAATTCACAATCCAATCACTGTTGCAGAGTTTCTTGACTATCGAGTGCTGAAATGTACTGATTTAGTGAAAACATCCTCCAACCGGTTACGATTGGGGTTCTCCCGATGAACTTATTACTATGATTACAGACAGGAAGAAGAGAAGATGAATCCAGGAAACAAAGAGCGCTGCCAGAGCACCCGTGTTAAGCAGAAAGACCTCTTGAGGTTATCTTGAAGAACTTCCAAAGGTTGGGGCGGCCCTTTAAAAGTCCTGGCCAAATTGATCGTATCCTCCTATGCCATTGCAAACCAAAAAAGATCGGCACAATGAATGTCCACGACACTTATCGCTGCAGAACTTTTGAAAACAAGGGTGCTCGACTGAGGAGATTTACTCCATTCAAGTTTCTGTATCTTCAGTGTATTGTCCATAATTTCAGGATGAAGAAAAGAAAGCAAGAACTGGTGGTGATAATTAAAGTGTTTCTGTTTGCACACCACATATTTTAGAGACGCTCCCTTCCCCCACTTGAACAATATTCCTTTGAATAAGCCATCGGAGGCTAGTTCACAGATGAATGAGGGAGAAGGTCCAAATGGCTTAACACAGTAGAGGCTGGACGTATCGAGTTGGGTGTCTGTCTGAGACTCGAAAATCACCACCATTCCAGAGAAGGGCTTTCTTGGAAACCGAAAGCCTTTTTAATTTCAGGAATTTCTCTTTCTTCATCTTCCTTGGCTGATATGATGGCTGGTACAACAACAGAAGTTCCTATCATTGTTCATGCTCACCTATGTGTGTGTGTGTGTGTGTTTGTGTGTGAAAGAAAGAGCAAAATATATATCTTTTTTTGTTAGTTTTTTCTTTTGTTTTTTGGCAACTGCAGTGTAATGAGTCTTGTTCTTTTGAGTTTTATTTTTTAGATCCATCCGTGTTTTGAGTGGCGTCGAGGCGGGTACTCGGATCCTTCAGTGCGATTTCTTTTCTGTGTGAGTGAGTGAGAGTATTGTTTCTGAGCACGGTGACTGGTTGGTTTTGTCTGGTTAGTGAGTGGTTGGTAGGTGATGGGTCAGTAGGTGGCAGGGTGTTGAGGAGCAGCTGGGAAACCCACCAATCCTAAGTTCGACGCTCCAGATGTTGTCTAGAACTTAAACTCCTTGGCTTGTAGGTTGGAGGAATCGAAGTTGAATGTGCCTCCTTGGGTGGCCTCGGGAATCAGACTTGGGTCTTCATCAATCTACAAGCAGAGCCCGACAGAATTAGGCGGATGTTCACTAATAATTCATATCAGGAGCAGACCCCCAAACAAATGACAAATACATTAGAACAATAATTTGAGACTCACATCATCTCCTGAAAAGTACTGATCAATGATTTCAAATGCAAGTTTATAGATGTCCTCGTTTTCATGCTGCTGGAGGTTCTCGATTTTTTCCAATCCTAAAAAACAAAAGAAAACTTTTATATTTTTTGGTGTCACGTTATTTTAATTTACAATTCATGTCATTAACAAAACATTAACTAAGACTATTAGCTAAATAAACTTCCTATTAGCTGCTTATTAATAGTTGGGTTTAGGTATTGAGTAGCATTAGGGATATAGAATAAGATCATACTTTATATGTGCTAATAATTGACACTACCTGACAAAAATCTTGTCGCCTATTCAAGTTTTAAAAACAATAAATAATAACTCGATTTATAGCTAATTATTTATCAGAAGTGGCTTATATGAAAGGCAAAGGCCTCTAGATTACGCTTATTTGACCAAAATAAAACATGATCATGTCTTGATTTTTAATTATGTAATGAGGACAGTAAGGTCTGACTTTGCTTAGACAAGTCTTGTCATTTAACAGAAATAATGTACAGTATAGAATATAAAGTCATGCTGCAGTGGAAAAAGATTGAATATTGTGTATGACTCCCATGAGCGTGGACGACTGCATCTACACATCTCTGCAATGACTCAATTAACTTATTAATAAAGTCATCTGGAATGGCAAAGAAAGCGCTCTTGCAGGAATCCTAGAGTTCATCAAGAGTCTTTGGAATAATTTTCAATGCCTCCTCCAACGTCTTAAACTAGACATGCTCAATAACGTTCATATCTCGTGACTGGGCTGGCCAATCCTGGAGCACGTTGACCTTCTTTGCTTTCAGGAATTTTGATATGGAGCCTGAACTATGAAAAGGAGCGCCATCCTGCTAGAGAATTTGCCCTCTCCTGTGCTTTGTAATGTAATGGGCAACACAAACGTCTTGATACCTCATACTGTTGATGTTGCCATAAACTCTGCAGATCTCTCGCACACCCCCATACTGAATATAACCCCAAACCATGTTTTTTCTTTCAGCAAACTCGACTGATTTCTGTAAGAATCTTGGGTCCATGCTGATTCCAATAGGCCTTCTGGAGTCTTTCTGATGATTGGGATGCAGCTCAACAGATAATTCATTGGGAAAATTTACCTTTTGCCACTTTTCCAAATGATCAACTAGAAGTCAAGTTTTAATTTGTTGCTCTTACAACTAGGATCGGCAAGATTTTTATGAGTTTATAGTGTAAATTAAATTGACCAGTAAAAATTTGAAGAGAGGCCATTTCTATACTATGTCCATTACCTCCACACTCTTCAATGATCTCAGCAATTGTGCTGGCTTCCTCCCCGGCCATGATAAGGATGTTTTTCAGTCCGTCGAGGACCACCTGGACCACCTGAGAATCTTTCACCGAGAGCAGGTTGCAGAAGGGTGGGATCACGTTTTGTTGCACCAAGTACTCCACCTGCCAATCACAGCCAAATAAGCAATGAAGCAAGGAGAAGAAAGTGTCTCAACATCAAGAGATTCGTGGTGAGCGGTTCATACCTGATCCTTTCTTCCACTTATTGTCAAGTTGCTGATGGCCCATGCAGCCTCCTTCTGTGTCCCAAAATCACCCTGTTTTGAGAAAAAAACAAAACAAGAAATTAGACATTTAAGCCTTTGGATAGCGATGGTTTAAACTAGAAATTAAGCCTGACGCAGTACTAAATTAAGTCACAAAAATAGAGGAAAAACTCTTTAGTAAAGATTAGTATTATATTTTTATGTTTATGCCAATTCTAGGGTGTTTACCAGACATTAATCTGCAACTGCTAAAACTTGTTGTAATGAGTGTTTGCATTGACCATTAGATAAGGCTTGGGTTTCAATGATAAATGATGATTAAAGCCAATGTTATGACAGTATGAATAGTATATACTCTGCAGTTTCTAATAAAAAAAAAAGCTAAGCAAAGCTATCTTCACTAGCTGTCTCGAGCTGTGATGTAATATAAAAGTAAGCAGTGATGCAAATTAAAATTGTGGCTCAAAAACAAAATTTTAACTTGGTTAAACACAGATTTTCTGACTTAGGAGAGTCGCAACATCCTGCCCAGGGACTACAGATGTAAATTAGCAATTCAGGGTTAGCTACAATCAGGGTTTCTACAGGTTTCACCAAGTCCAATTTAAGACTCAAGACCTTTTAAGACCATTATGAATGATATTTTAGACTTCTACAGGTCTACAACTAATTTTCTTTTATTTTTTCGAATGGCCCAGTTTGTCTAGTGGAATTAATTTTTTATTTGCCCCATCAAAAAATAGTAATAATTAGGTATAGGCATAATGTGTCAAAATAGGCAAACAACCCATAGTGGTATACACAGTCATTTTTAAACACTACTTATAAGCTCTTTAAAAACTATAATAAACTATATGTATGCACATGCAACAGTCTAACCAGGTCAGCGTCCTCCACCTATATGGTCTTTAATTACATGGAGAACTTTCAGACCAATTTGTATTAGATTAGCTCAGTTATTAAATGTGCTATTATAATATTAGTTATAAACACAGCTTTGTTAAATGTTTTATTGAGATGGATTGTTGGTGATGAATTTTTGGCTGATTGAGAAGGTTTACATGGACATAGTCAAATTAAGACCAGTTTAAAATAATTTAAGACCTTAAAGACAAAAATTCAATAAATTTAAGACTTTAAGTTTTTAAGAACTTGCTCGACAACGTTCAAAAAGCAATAAGTTCATATTTACATTTGTTTATTTGCTTTTTATGCTCATGTTGTTCAGTGCGTGTATTGGAGCAACATTCAAAAAGACTGTGTTTTCTTTGAGCAGGTAAAATTAAGGGTACAGTTCACATATCTGACTGCTTGTATTAAAGGACAAAATTGTTAAATATATAAATATATTTATGAATTATTATGAGATTTAAATATAATAATTATTGTGCTGTGAAATAAAATCTAAAATTGTGCATGTAAAGCATTGTAAGTGCACTGTGAATGTAATGAAATCTATATGAAGAATGTACTGCAATCTAAAAGTAATGTAATGTGTTTTTATTTAATGCCATGTCAGCACCCACGGCTATTTTCATGGCAGGAACATTTCAATAATAAATATACAATTAAAAATAAACAAACAAATGAATACATAAATTAAATAAGATTTTTAGTACTAATACATGATAATAATTCTAAAATCTTTTCTGGTGTCACTGCTAAAAATGTCCTAAAGAGAGTTTATTTCATAAAAAATTCTTCTGGAATCATTAAAAACAGGACAGTCCAGTAAAATGAGGAGTTGTGCAGCACAAAGACTGAGTAGGGTTTTCACCTTGGGGCAAAAAAACATAGTTTATTCTCGTATGCCCAATACGACATCTGGTAATAACCACTTGATTAAATCTAGTCTAAAAATGTCTTAAAATTCTATGAGAGAGTTCAGGTTGGATTTCATGTAATTTATAATATTCTAATGCATCAATCTAAAAGTAAAAGTTTTATATACACTTTATCAAATTGAATGTAAAATACTGTAGCTATTTTCTGAATTTGTCATGACAACTGACAACTTTATTGTGAAAAATGGTTTTAATAAACAGAAGCATAGTGTAGCCTACTTATAGTACGCTACACTATAGTGTAGCGTGATTATGCCTAGTCTTTCTTTGGTGCTGTTAAAACCACCACATCAAACCTGCAGCTCTTATGAAATGATAGTACATTACATTTTAAATCACAAATCGCAATGTTGATCAGATAAATTGCAACTGGATTTTTATCTCCAAATGATGCAGCCCTAAGTCAAGCTAGAATTAGTATGAAGGATGTATTACACATCCATTTAATTCAGTTTTCAGAACTGAACATCAAAAAAGGTTTCTAAATCTGCTTTATATATATATATATATATATATATATATATATATATATATATATATATATATATATATAAACTAACTCAATGTACAGTAGCCCAAGTGCTAGTCATCTTACCTTGGCAAGCTGGTGAATGATCATGGGTATGAGACCAGCATCTATTACAGCCTGCACCTGCTGCTGGTTTCCTGCTGTTATATTAGACAGGAACCACACCGCCTCCTGCAGACGCATCACAGATGTACAATAAACACAAGGCACTGCGTTTAAACTGGGACTGCAGAGATTTCTAGAGTCACTTATGAAATTAGCCAAGTAAAGCAATTGTGATTCATCATCTTGAGTAAACCTCACACAAATAGGCTCAGATGTGATGTGTGTTTCTGTGTCTCACCTTGTTGATTTTCTCTTTGGGGTGTGTGAGCAGGGTGGAAAAGTGAGTAAGAACATCACAGTTGAGCACCACCTGAGTCTGCTCGTCTGTCCCGGTTACAATGTTCCCCACCGCTCTCAGCGCTGCAGTCTGAGCGGACAATACATGAACAACATTAGAAGCCAGCTTTTGGTTTTAGAGTGTACAGAGATTCATAAATGTGCATGTGTTTTTACCTGAACTTTGACCTCTTGGTGGCTGAGCAGTGGGACAAGGTACGGGACAACACCTGAGTCTATTACCATCTGAATCTGCTCGTTACCTCCATCTGTCAGATACGACAGAGCCCACACTGTGTCTACCAGAATCTGCAGAGAACAGCAGATTTGAGGACGTTAAATGAGAAACGCAGACTGTTTTCATTTGCATAAACTTCAGATTAAATGAAGTGATCATGCTGCACAATTATCAACAAACTTGTGAGATATTAGGAAAAGTTTAGCCTAAAGGAAAATGTATGTTTAGTTTACAACGTTTGCAACACTAAAATAAGACAATAGATCATTTTTCAAATACACATTTGGCACCTAAAACTACTCCAATAATGTCCGGGTCCAAAATTACACAATTTTTTTAATTTCATATTTATTTATTTTTATATATATATATATATATATATATATATATATATATATATATATATATATATATATATATATATATATATATATATATATATATATAGTTGCTATGGCCACAATCAGCTGTTCTTCATACACGCAGTCAATTTTCAAAATAGTTCAACTTTTGCCACTGTGTAGATTAATACTGAAAGTGTGTCTGTACTGAATTGTTTCTACTTGGGGCTGTGGTTAAGAACAGAGTAATATGCTGATATTTAACTGCATGGCTTTAATGCATTCCTGCATTGGGCTCACACATATATTCTGTGCTCTGACTACTACTTGGACGCTTCTCTCCATCTCCTGCCGAATGCACGAGATCACAAAACAACCACAACAGACTAGACCAATCAGCGCAGATTAGCTTCATCCCAAGGAGGGGTTTGAGAGCAAATGAATCGCTGAACGAATCATATGGGAGTCATTGGGATAACTGGGTCAAAATAAATGCATATTTTAATAAAAGTATTTTTATATATAGATTGCATATCAGACTGCTGTTGGAGACCCCCAAAACCAAAACATGACCTTTTACAATGCTAAACAGGGGCTCTTTAATCCAAAATGAAATTTGTTTTGATATGTACGGCAAGCAGTCATTTAATAACCAAGCTAATCTAGTCAGCTAATCATTTTTGCAAAATAAAGCCCTTCTAAACTTTCTTTCTGCACAAAGTCAACCAGCATTCTTCAAAATATCTTATTTTGTGCTCAACAGAAGTGACCCAAATAGGTTTTGAACAAGTGAATGGCGAGCAAATAATGGTAGAATTTTCACTTTTGGGTGAGCTAGACACTTAAACCACATTTACTGCACTATCCAATTAAAAGTAGCACTTTTTTGTTTGGAAGAAGTAGTGCGACATGTACTTACATTTATATCTGTATGATATATGAGTACACAGAGGGCAGGAAGAATCTGAGTGAGAAAAACAGACATCTTTTAGTTGAAACTGAATAAGCAGACCGCATGTAAACATGAAATCAGCTGTAGCGCAACAGAATATTCATTAGACCTGCCATCAATGAAGCAGTTGCTATATCACACACACAGAGAGAGTGAAAACACAGTCTAATGATTTCATAGCAGCAGGAGGTACAATATGTTCCCTTCAGCTCAAAGCGACACCTCCAGATTACAGATAGCAGAAAAGAGAAATGAGCACAATATTAAATATTGGCACGCAGCATACACAGCATTATATCTGACTGAATAGATGCTAAAAACACACACAGACAGATTACTGCGGACGAAACTGAAAGGCAAAAGAAATGCATAATATCTGTTGAAATTTTGAAAACGGTGGCGTAATGAATTAATTACCAGTTTATAAAGTGCCTCATACACATCATTCAGTCAAAAAACAGCTAAAGGGATCAGTTTAGCCAATCAAATTACAGTATTTTTACTGTAGTATTGCAAGTTATTCAATTCGTTTACAAAATCTTCAACTGGATGACGTAAGGATCGTTTTTTACCAACACGAACGAGTCAGAAATGCACAAACAGGGGTCACACACTTTGCTCACCTCTTGTACTGTTTCCATGGGTGGTGGAGGGTCTTTGTTTCGGCACAGGTTGACAATGACCCAGGTGACGTTTCTCAAGAAGGTTATGGGGATGGAAGGATTAATAAACGACAAGAGAGGTTTGACCACACCGAGCGAGATGACGTAATCTCTACACTGAGGTCCATCACCTGCACAGAGCACATAAAACAAACACACGTGCAGTAATGTCAGAAAACACACCACTGATGAGCATCACGGCTGTTACAAGACCCAAAAGATGGGGATTTTGTTATACTTTTTAAATATTTTGCATCCATTTGGAAATGAAAAATTGTTTTCTAAAATGTCCAAGATTTATAAAACCATACTGTATCTGATTTCTTTGAGATCTCAGGTCTGGTGGGAGCAAATTGTGGTAACTGACCACTTTCTTCCTCCATATTTCTTGTGTCATTGTTGTTATTTACCGTGTTGGCGTCTCCACACACGCTCTTCCTTCTACATCATTAAACCACGGAGAAGTACCACAATTTCACAAGTTTAATGACGTACAAAACGGAATGACTCAATAAATCTGATCTGCCTGTTTACATGATAGTCGCATTGTCACATATCTGACTTACATCAGATTTATTTCCACATATGAAGGAGGCCTGAAACCGATCGCTGAAAATCCAAATGCATGCATTTTTTTTCAGTGTTAACGCGGTCAAAAAACAGATCTGACCTCTGAAAAATCTGAATTGGGTCACATTTAACTGGCAGTGTAAATGGGGGCTTAGTGAATGTGAAATATGACAGATTTACAGGAAACCACATTTTTATTATCCTATTTTTTATTCAATAAAAATTAATAGACAACAAAAACTTATGATAGAAACTTATATGCATATTAAATATACTTACACTTTACTGTTTGAGAACTTTATATTTACATGAAAATTAACTATTTTATTAAATTCCTTTACATTTTATAACCCATTACTGCACAAAAACAGTTAAAATTTATGAAACGTACACTCACCGGCCACTTTATAAGGTACACCTTTCCAACTGCTTGTTAACGCAAACTTCTAATCAGGCCAATCACATGGCAGCAACTCAATGCATTTAGGCATGTAGACAGGGTCAAGACAATCTGATACAGTTCAAACCGAGCATCAGAATGGGGAAGAAAGGGGATTTAAGTGACTTTAAATGTGGCATGGTTGTTGGTGCCAGGCGGGCTGCTCTGACTATTTCAGAAACGGCAGATCTACTGGGATTTTCATACATAAGCGTCTGTAGGGTTTACGGAGAACGATCTAAAAAAGAGAAAATCTCAAGTGAGCGGCAGCTATGGTGGCATGCCTTGTTGATGCCAGAGGTCAGAAGAGAATGGCCAGACTGGTTCCAGCTGATAGAAAGGCAACAGTAACTCAAATAACCACTTTACAACCGAGGTCTGCAGAAGAGCATCTCTGAACACACAACACGTGCAAACTTGGGGCGAATGGGCAACAGCAGCCAAAGACCACACCGTGTGCCACTCCTGTCAGCCAAAGACAGGAAACTGAGGCTACAATTCACACAGACTCACCAAATTTGGACAATTGGAAAAATATTGCCTAATCTGATGAGTCTCGATTTTTGCTACAACATTCAGATGGTAGGGTCAGAATTTGGCATGAACAGCATGAAAGCATGGATCCATCCTGCCTTGTATTGACAGTTCAGGCTGATGATGGTGGTGTAATGATGTGGGGGATATTTTCTTGGCACACTTTGAGCCCATTAGTTCCAATTAGCATTGTGTCAACGCCACAGCCTACCTGAGTATTGTTTCTCATCTCTTTATGAGCACAGTGTGCCCATCTTCTGATGGCTACTACCAGCAGGATAAGGCACCATGTCATAAATCATGAATCATCTCAGACTGGTTTCTTGAACATCACAATGAGTTCACTGTACTCAAATGGCCTCCACAGTCACCAGACATCAATCCAATAGAGCACATTTGGAATGTGGTGGAAGGGGAGATTCACATCATGGATGTGCAGCCGACAAATCTGCAGGAACTGCGTGATGCTATCATGTCACTATGGACCAAAATCTCTACGGAATATTTCCAGTAACTTTTTGAATCTATGCCACGAAGAATTAAGGCAGTTCTGAAGGCAAAATTGGGCCCAACCTGGTACTAGTAAGGTATACCTAATAAAGTGGCCAGTGAGTGATGTATTGATAAACAACAAAAATATTACTCTAGGAGGATAAAAAAATTATTTAACTTTCATGAGCTTCTTTTTATAGCTCCATTTTAGTCTAATAATTCTGACTTTTTTTAAACACTAATAAATTTCTAGATAATTGATTTGGTGTTTAATGGTATTTGAACCAGCAGAGGTCAATATGCATACAGCAGCTGCTATGAACACGACAGCAAAAAGTTCCAATCTTATTGGTCAATGTTTCTTCAATTGTTGCCAGGAAAGCAAAAAAAGTTTGTCTAGCTTTCTCCTTATTATCATATAGTGCTCACTCACTGAACATTTGCTTCCTTTTTTATAAATTCAGAGTTAGTAACACCGAGAGGACATTTCACAGTTACTCACCAATGATGTTTCCCAGCGCCCACACGGCCTGCTCACACACATTCTGATGAGGAGAGTGCAGAAGTCTCAAAAACAATGGGACAGCATCTAAAGAGAACAACAGGAGACTTTAACTACAGACGGAGCCGATAAAGTCAAAACAGGCCGTTCAAGTCTCTGTCTGAACCACTTACTGGATTTGACCACTGCCTGTGTCTGTGCAGACGTCCCTGATGCAATGTTAGTCAAAGCCCAGGCAGCTTCAAACTGCAATGAAGGACTGATGAAGAAGGAGAGAGAAATAGAAGTTGGTATGTTTAAGGCAACGGTAAACAACATTTCAGCCCTGACCACTCTGAATAAAGAACCACTGCCTGCAATACTCTGAATACAGCAGCTCAGCAGGACTTTCCCACAGGATTGTGTATTTGTAACCGGAATTGACCTTTAAAGAAGCATTTCTTGGCTTGTTTTGAGTCAGACATGACCGAATGTAATGAATTGAGACGGACTGAATGCTTCAACTGTATTACACAAAGCAGTTTCATTAATTTTCCAGTAACTTGTGATCAAATAGATGAAAGTTAAAACTGTTGTTAGGGTGGATTTCTATTGGTGTATGAAGTACAATCATTATCCTAATAACTACGCACTTAAGATGCGGTACCCTTTAAAGTTGTTGTCCACAATGATATCATATTTTAAACTCTAGTTGATGTTTAATGTAGCTGTGTGAACAAAAACGACATCTCTGCATGCAATACGCTCAACATTGGCTTTTACAGAGTTAGTTTAGCAAAGTGTAACCAAACAAAGTTGGGGGATTACAAAAAAAATACATCCAGGCTAGCGAGATCATAAAAGCTTCAGGTTACATGCATTCACCACGCGCAGTGAAGTGGCTTGGCAAAAGCCGCTGTAATGCTGTAATGTAGCAGAGAAAGCTAAAATGCCACGCAAACGCTGCTATTTTCAAAAAGCTTGTTTGCTTTCTGAATTTGGGCTTCCAAAGGACACGACACAAAGAGAGAAGTGCTTACAGTTTAATTTTGATTATGTTCTAGAGAATTCTAAAAAAATATAATTAAATATTATCTAAATGGATTCGGCTAAAAACTCCCCCAACCATGATAGACGAAGCTGTGGATTGTGGGCCACAACCTGTAAGTATTTTTATTTGTTTAAACTAATCAATTACATGCATAGTTTTTAGCGATAACACTATGTTGTAGCGAGGACGTAAACAAGGACGTAAACACTGGGAAATGCTGTTTGGCACCGCTAATAATTTAGCTACAAATTCATAAGATTCAATCTTCAGCAGCACTGCAGCTTCTCTCTATGCATCCGCTTTACCTGTATACAATATATGTGAATGTTTCATATTACTTACACATGCTTATAACCCGAGTATATGCGAAAGACACTTATCAAATGTTATTTTAGGAGAGCAGACGTGAGTTTTAGTTGTGTGCTTTTCATTTTCTGTCTGATTCAGGCTTTAACTGATATGGCTAACAGCTACTCTGACTGACTGTTTACACAGCGTGAAAGCCCATGTTTTTAGGGGCATGACGCTTTTCCTGGTGACATGGAGCCGATCCGCGAATCACAGCAAATTATGTTAAATGACCAATCAGAGCCTCTTGAGGGCAAACCTTACAGAGGAACTAGGAAATATGACAGTGGTTTTCATGTTAGCGGAGTAGCTGTATATAATCAAAGTAAGATATATGAAAAAATACCGTAATTGTCTACAAGTAAAGCATGAACACATGCTGGTTTGCATCTTATAAACACAAGCAAGCCTTAAAAATGCACTCTGGACATTAACATTATTTTGTGTACTATGATGATACAATGCAATCCTTAACATGTTAAATGATGCAAATGAGTTTTTCTCACTTGCAAAAAATAAGCAAAAAAATGTGTGACACCCATCTATTTAAGCACACAGTCATTTCTGTACTGCACCACTTGATTAAAAAAAAAAAAAAAAAAAAAAAAAAAAAAAGAGCGCATAAAACAGCAAGGCTCTGAAATGTAATCTGAGCAAGTTGTATCTAATTAAGCATAAAGTATTCATGAATAATGCTTAAATGAACCTATAAGATTACCACTAAATCACACCTAAGATCATTGAAGTAAAAACATTAAATAAAATTAGTTGCTGCTAACATTATATTGAAAACATTTTCTGAATTCTTTGAAGACAGAATGTTTTAAAAGAGCTATCAATTAAATGCATTACTGCTGAATTGAACGAATATGTTAATAATAAAAAAAAGTCTATAATTTACAATCTACCACATTTCAACTATGATACAGAAAAAAAAATAACTCTAAAGTATCTTTGCACACAGTTATTTTTTCACTTAATGCAACATATTGACTTACTTGTCATCCCTCTCCAGGCATTTGACTAGGATTGGAAGGATTCCACATTTTATCAAGTCGTCTATAGGGGGATTTCTGTCACTTGAGAGCAATTTTCTGCAAACGAAAAGTCAAGATGTCTGTCAGTCATCTTATCTGTGCTCCAAATACATGCCAGCAGTGTAAATACAATTCATTTAAAACCGATAACGAAAACGAATTTAAAAACAAGCATAATTGACAGAGCATGCCATTGTTCTGTTGTCACTTTTTCCCTTACAACTTAGATCTTGATTCCTTACAACTTAGAGCTTGATTAAACTAGACAAATTCAACTACAAAATAAAATTTGCAGGAACTCATTTCTCTTCCTTCGGCTATTATGCACTGATGATGACGTACATCAAGACCAAAAATGAATATTAAAGAACTGAAAATAAAAGTGTTTCGTGAACACATACAGGGCTGTTTGCGGAGTCTATGTATTAACGGGATGTTTCTCACATAGACTGATCATTTCACTTCATAATTCATTGGCTACTTATTTTGTTATTTCTGTATGCGATTTAATGACTCCGTAAAGGCTATTAGCTGTTGAATTGCACTTTGTGAATCACCAAGCACCTCTGTTTCAGCTAAAAATACTCTAAAGAAAAATAATTATCTAAACCATCTAAAGAGTTAAGCATAGTTAATACTAAATGACTTGATTTTGTGTCTTTTATTCGCTGTGCTGTTCACACTACACAACACACTACATAAATGATCCACAAGAGAGGGGGGGGGGGGGGAAATCACACACTACAAGATCTGACAACAACTCGTTCCCCAACAGCTCAGTCAAGCTATTAAAACACAGCAAATGAAATTGAGGGAGGAGCCGTCAGAAAAAGCGGAACACTATTGGTTGCTTGTGTGCTGATTACATCACTGACATCATTTCAAGCTTTCAAGGAAGCATTTAAAAACATCGTCAATCAACTGATGCTTCAACCAACCAATCACTCATCTGCAAGGTTCAAGTGGATAGATGTGGCTTTAACACTAGAACTACCGGGGCAGTTAGAGTTTAAAATTTTTGTAATTTAAGAACTTTGAAATAAAACCTAAACATATCTATAACACCCTGATGTTTGCTAATTATCTGTGTATTTATTTTTAATATTGTTATGTTTTTTTGAATTACAAAACGGTAATGAACTGAGCATTTCGACCTTTAATTATCATGTCGGTCAAAATGACTGCATGCATGTCTGCTACTTTTCGCTGGGACTTTAAATATGCACGCATTTTTGCCTGGCAACATCCTGCTAACAGAAACATAACTTTCTGACGGCAAAAACATAAGTTTACTTCAGATATATCTTTCAAAACAACATTTTCTGTGCCACGAAATAGCTCCTGTTTAAAGCTGAAAATGAAAGCGAGGCCCGGACCTTTGCGTGTTCTAGAATCTTAACTACATATTTATAGGCTGTGTTACCAAAAAAGATAATATTTTTAGGGTAATGGTGTCATGAAATATGATGAGAAATTCAAAGCTTAATTTTAACATCTCAATAGAAGCTTTAAATGTAAATATGATGTGACAATATGACATCTTATATGAGAACGGTAAGAATGAGCAGTATGGTATTACTAATAGTTACAGAATTCTAGTTCCACTGTTAATATAACCTACTCTCGTGTTCGTGTTAACACAGAATAAAGCGAGTGCAGTGATGTCCATTCTAGCCAATCACAGATGTTTCTGTTGAGCTCCTGAGCACAATGATCATTCAGCTCATGCTGATATGCTCTCTCACTGACTGCAGCTCGTCACTTTATCTGACCGCACATGGGGTCGAATTGGCCGGCTGCTTTCGAATATAAAGCATGCTAGATATTGGATTTCCATCTGCGAGGTGTTGGCGATGTGTCAGCAAGCCTCTTTGATGTGTTGTTCAGTAGTTCACACATAAATACTGCCAAGCACCCCCAGATTTTTTCCCTAACTTAACTTCCAAATCGGGCTCAAAATCATGTAGTGTGAACTAAGCCAGTGGTTCTCAAAGTGGGGGTCGGGACCCCTTGAGGGGTCGCGGAACAATGAAGGTGGGTCGCCTGGTGATTTCCAAAAATCTACTTATTATTAGGCCATAAGAATTACCATATTTTATTCATAACCAACTGAAGAGAAAAAAACAGTCGTTTATAGTTACTATAGTAGCTTATTTACTTGTTCTATTGAATTGCGACCCCTGGGGTAAATACATTATATTAAAGACAGCAAAAGCGTCAGATCCAGCAGATTGATTTTATAACACCAGGTTAAACTTTCTGGCCCATTTACAGCACTGACGTACATAAAAAAAAATTAAACGAAGAATAGACTTTGGTCTATTGGTGTGTGTGTGTTTGTGCGCCATTGCATGCAAGTTTTCTGTATTTATAACCACCTCAGAGGATATTGGGGGTCGCGAGTCACTGGCATTGTTATTTTAGGGGTCGCGTGCTGAAAAGTTTGAAAACCCCTGAACTAAGCTATAGTAAATGAACTGAAACATTTAATTTTGGGTAAACTATACCTTAAAAAAAAGCAAAGAGCAACTATTATGAAGGTATGTTGACCCGAGGCTAAGCGAGATATTTTTAGAAAGTATTAATGTGTAAAAAATGCAAATCTTTCATATCCATATCGCAAAACTTTACCTGGCTGCTTGCACTGCACTGAGCTGCACCACTGCATTGTCACTGGTGGCGTTCTGTAGAGAAAAAACAAGACAAATGGAGAATGAGTGGAAGAAGAGAAGTGAGCCTTCTGCTAAAGCCTCTCTCACCAACAATAACATCAACACGTGCTAGAATCTTACCTGTAAGATGGCATCTAGCGTTACATTTTGCTGAAAATAAAGAGCAAAAAGTTTAGAAAAATAATAATCTTTAAATGAAAGGTATGAAGTGAGCAGAAATCAGAAAAAAAACCTCTTACCCCTTTAAAGTCAGAGTCCACGTCAGAGTCCTCCAGACTCTCTTCTTGTGGAACATTTCTTTTCTTCAGGAGATGCTCGTCTCTTTTGTTCTATACAGATTGAGAAATAAAAACCATCAGCTTCTTTACAATTAATCTTATTTAAATGCATCTTCATTTGACCGAACGCACCTAAACAAATACAAACTAATCTGTGATTTTTCATCCTGAGAATACACTTGAGCAAATTAGCGAAAACTCCACTTGATGCATTAAAATGTATATTTAATAACGGTATATATAACAAAATATTGGAAAGAAATACACGATGCCTTACAAAAATTTTTTAAATCTGTGATAACCTTTGATTGTAAGTATTTTTGTTTGGATATATACCCGAGGAATGGTTAAAAAGAGATAGATATTTATCGAACATTCTGTTAGTGGCTGTTAACAAGAGCATAACCAAAAAATGGTTGTCACAGGAAAGTGCTACTCTAAGTGCATGGATGGAAATTACACTGGAAATTTATCAAATTGAGCAAATTGCCGCATTTGTAAATGAGAAAACTGAACAATTCATTTCCTTCTGGGGAAAAAAATGGACCAATTATTCAACATCCCATAGTACTGAACGTTTTTGTTTAAAATTGGAAAGATCACTTCTGTACATAGTACTGTTGCTGATGTGCATGTACAGTGCTCAGCAGAGGTGTGGACTCGAGTCATGTGACTTAGACTCGAGTCATGAATTTGATGACTTTAGACTCGACTTGACAAAATATAAAAAGACTTGCAACTCGACTTGGACTTGAACATAAATGACTCGGACTTTGACTAGGACTTGCCCCTATTGACTTGTAAAGACTTGCTGCTTCCCATGAAAAGCCCAAAGATAAAAAAAAAGTATGTTGACATGGACCGCTCTCTCTCTCTCCCCGTTTATGTGTGCGTGTGTGTGTGTGACAGCATGCGTGCGCGTGTGTGTGTGTGACAGCATGCGCGCTTTCGGCATGACATCCAATCAAAGCACGGTAGATTGTTTTGATTCGTCAGTATCCAACGTGACTACTATGAGGCGCCGGAGTGGACAAAAGTCAAGCGAACGCAGAGAGAATTTGAATTTGAGATCTAGCCAATACTCGCGTGCCAATACTCTGTCTCTCTCTCTCTCACATACAACATACACCTCTCTCTCTCTCTCTCGCTCGCTCGCTCGTGCATTCAGTCTCTTTGCGTTCACTTGACTTTTGTTTACGATGGCGTCTCATACCTTTAGTGCTTTTGCTATAACGGGATCCTCCTTTTAAACTGACCCTTCGCTAAGCCACGCCCAAAAACTGCCACCCACCAATCGCGGCTTACCAATCGTGGCTACGGACAGGGAATCTGTCAAGCTTTCGAGCGAGGGAAACAAGCCAAATCGTTGCGCAATTATTGGATTGTGCAAATCTGACACCCGCTATCCTAAAAGTTTGGACTGGGTGGTGGGATATTTCCCTTTTCAAAACCTAAAGCCCAAGAGGAGAAATGCCAGCGTGGATCAAGCTGTGTGAGGGGCGGTAAAGGAGTTAACAGCTAAGTTGATTTTGTTTTCGATATTCACATTCAGTGATAGGTGGCAATAACTCACACTCCTCTTATCCTAAACAGATCTAAACTGTGTTCTTATATAAAAAAAAGCAGGTTATGTTTACCAGCTGTCTTTTTCTTTTTTTCCACTCGATATTATGAGCACTGCTTAGTTTAAACCCTCGCCATTGTAACGCATATAAATACATACACTAATATTTGCTGGTAGGAAATATCTATTTGTTCACTTCTGTTATTTATACTTTGATTTGCATTTCAATTTTTTTTTCTTCCACTTAACTGCAAATTTGAATAAAAACTGGATAAAGAGCACACAAACATGCTGACAGTAATAGGTACTGTACACTTTTATGGGTCAATGATGCTAATATTCGGCACAAATCCATCAGTTTCTTAGGTTATTAGATTATTTTATAATTTCACCTCTCCTGCTGTGCATGAACTATGCTGTTGAATGTTCAGCGTATGAGGTTGCTAGGCTAACCTTGCTTCAATTTTGATAAAATTATTTTCTAATCAGTTGCTATTATGTTGTGAATATACCCCTGTAATGTATACTGCAGTCCTCTTTTGTCTGGCTTTCTCAGATATCTCACCTGTTTAAAGATAAATTCTGTTTATAGATAAATTCTAGTGTTTTTGAGTATTATACTTGTTGTATACTTGTATTATACTTATTATAGTAGTATTAACAATAGTGAACAGATAAAATACAAAGTGTAGTTTTACTACAGTAAAGTGTAGTGATTTGTAGTATAAAATACCCTATATTGTAAAATAATACAGCACTGGGTAATTTGTTTATATTACACTTGTGTTACCATAGCAACTATAGTATTACCACAACTGATCAATTGAAGTTCTTTACTGTAGTAGGCTACTGTTCAAAACACAGTACATGCCAATATACGTGTTCAGGGGCCCTGTGGAACAGCTTTCCTCAAAATGAAGAGGATGACATGGAAAATGTCCTCCACAATCTCATCAGCAAAGTGGAAGCCAGCAGACACTAGTTTACTTTATTTTAGCTGCCATAATAAAATGAGATTGATAGTGAGATTTATTTGAAGAGTGAATAATACAGTAGGCTATAATACCTTATCAAGTGTTTCCTTATTTTATCACAGTTACATTTCCGCTTGCATTAGTTTTTGTTTAAATGCTTTTAAAATAAAATGTATTCTTTACATCCAACATCTATTCCAGGGGTGCCTTATAGTGGTGTAAACCCCTTTACAAGGGGTGTTTTCCCTGTGTAAACTCTAGCCACCCCGATATGATTTTGCTGTTGACATTATTTATTTAAATCTACTTACATAAATGCAATACAATGCAATATTTCAATAAATAAATAGCAGCCACTAAATTATTGTGGATTGATTGGTGCCACTGACGTAGCTGGCCTCTTCTGGCCACCCCTAAGCAAATTTTCAGGGGAGCACCACTGGTCTATTCTCTGTCTTTAAGTGTTTGAAACTGAAAATATCTCATCATATAAAACAACCAAAAATGTTATGGTTTATTAGATTAAACATTTAATATGTAAGTCTATTTTAGTATTTTGGTTATTGTTATTAAACAGTGCAGCAATATGAATCATATCAAAAAGCATGAAAGGAAGAGGGAACACGACACAAATTGTGAGTCTGCATATAATCTCTGAGAGTGCTCAAGAAAATTTGTGTGTGAGCAGTGCATATTTGAGAGCGAGAGAAAATTTGCGCGTGAGCAGCGTATATTTGAGAAGTCGCAATCAGTTTTGTCCACAAACAGAGGAAATCCGTGCACGAGCATCACACAAGGTAGAGAGCAAAGCTCTTCAACGCTATGTGAAGAAAACAACATTATTGTTTGTATGAAGTAGCCTACTTCATTAACAATATGTGCTACCATTTTACATTGCTGCTAGACGGATTTGCAGCTCCATCTCTTTAGCACACACGAGATTCAATTGACAAAATTCCAATTTCACTCAATTTAACTTTGCAGCATACAGGAGTTGGTCTACTGCTACCACATTGAGGTTATGTAATTTTGGTTAATCACAAGTTGATCACCGAAGACATAACATAGCACAACTAAACTTAATGAATTAGACAGCAGTAGACCTGCAATTTCTGTGTGATGTGAGGCAAAATGGAGTCTTTTTTTGGTGGAACTCGTTCTTGTGCATTATGCTGTGAAGACGAGACGCAGCACTGTTCAGTACTTTTTCAGAAAATTGCATTTGTATTTTTATATATCTGAGCAATGTTCTTTCATAAAAAAGGTTTGTTTAATTAATACAGATCTTACAACCATACCTAATCTGTATATATTTTATTTTTCTGTTAAAAAGACTCGAAAAGACTCGAAAATCAAACTGCAGGACTTTGGACTTGACTTGAGACTTGTTGCCTTTGACTCAAGACTTGACTCGGGACTTGCCTTTCTTGACTCGGGACTTGACTCGGGACTTGAGGGCAATGAATTGAGACTTACTTGTGACTTGCCAAACAATGACTTGGTCCCACCTCTGGTGCTCAGCATATACGAGTACACCCCATTTTGAGAATGAATACTTTTATCCATTTCCCTTTGAATATAGGCTGTGTATTTTAGCTGATCTAAACAAAACCAAATTTATATAACATATATATATTTATTACAATAATATTTTAGTCACCAAACATATTTAGAAATTGAAAAATACAATTAAATTCAAGCAAAATATTGCAAAAAAGAAGAAAAAAAAGAAAACTTCAACTAAATTATTTACTTTTTCTATGCTTCTCTTGATTTTTCCTCTTTTTTAAAACTACACTCTTCCAGCAGTTTGTTGCATCCAATACCTTGTTTGTCACGGGGGGCATGCACGAAATGTTCCTGAATGAAAGTAAAAGTGCCAAACTGCAGGTAAAGTTAACAAATTAAGAATGAAACACCTAAAATTACATGAAACCTCGGAGGAAATGTGGATAGTGCAATGTCTAATTATGTGCTATAACATGTAAAACGGGATCATGAAAGAAACATTTAAAAAAGCAACTCATGTAAACACCTCAATCATTTATTGTCTAACTCGTGACCCTTTAAAATTTTATTACAAAATCCAAAGTTTAAACATAAGGCAAGCAACAGTATCCAGCCATTTTGCAGTCTTTCGGCACTGTTGTTAACTAGCAACAGGGTAAACAGCTGACACTGATGATGCAAACAAACCAAAAATGACCGTGTGAACAGAATCCAGTGGCAGCAGGGAGGGTCAGTCAAACTCTAGCTCAGATCAGGAAAGCAAACCTAGTGTGAAAGCACTTAACGGTTCTGTTCGTGATCAGACTGAGGGTGCTTTCATATCTGTGGTTCAGTTTATTTGGTCCGGAGGAAGGGCAACAAATGATACACTGTAGCATTTTCTGCCCTTTTTGGGTCCTTTTCACACCACACTGGTTGCTTTGGCCTGAACCAGTTAAAAAAAACCTAAATGCAGTAATGTGACAAAATCCACATCACTCATTGGCTAAATGTTATTAAACGCA